TCCAGGTCCAGGTACTATCACCAAATGCATTCGAGGTGCTTGACGAATTGCCTGAAAGAGTTGAAGAAGACAATGTAGTATCAAGTCCGGATGTTAATGATCGGGTGCTGGAAACAGAGAATTCAGATGGTCTTCATGATTCAATTTTACAGACAACTACAGGACAAGTTCCACAGTTAGGGGGGAAGAAGAAAGCTAGGAAGAAAATTGTGATCCCTCGGTCTGTTAGGATCACTAGAAGTAATGCTGGTGGAGTGTATCCACCATCCTCTCAATGTTAGGTTTTTGGAATGTTTGAGGCCTAAATAGGCCTCGAATGCAAAAGGAGGTTAATTACTGGATTAAATCTTTCAACCTCCAGATTGTGATCCTTGTAGAGACAAGGGTGAAATATGCTAGATTTTCTAAGATTTCCAGCCGCATAAATCAAAATTGGCAATGGTGTACTAATTACAATAGGCATCACAATGGACGTGTCTGGTGTGGATGGGATCCTTCATCTTTTCATATTGATGTGATATTGGAAGATGCTAAAAGCATTCTGCTGAAAGTGCAGTGCATCAACTCTCCAAATTCTTTCTTCCTGACTGCAGTGTATGCTGCAAATTCTGTTGAAGACAGGAGAAGTTTGTGGCATTCCCTAACTGTGCATTCCGAAATTGTTGATAATGCTTGGCTTGCTATTGGGGACTGGAATGTTGTTAAGACTCATGGTGACAAAATTGGAGGGTTAACTATTCCTCAATCAATCATTGACGAATTCAACATGGTTTTGGACACTTGCCGCCTGTTAGAGGTATCTGTGAAAAATGGAAGTTGGACTTGGACAAACAAACAGCTAATCCATAGAAGAATCTGTGTAAAATTGGATAGAGGTTTGGTTAATTCTGCCTGGCATGACATGTTTTCAAACACCAAATTGATGCTGTCATCTGCATCATTTTCAGATCACTTTGGGTTGGTCTTATCTTCTTCCACTGATTGCTCTTCTGAACCAAAACCTTTTAGGTTTTTTAAAGTATGGTGCCTTATGGAAGATGTAGATCGCTTTGTAGCTCATGCTTGGACACATCAGGTCAGTGGCAATCCTCTACATATCCTACAGAAAAAAACTGAGAGTAGTTAAGGAAGACATGAAAAAGTAGAATATGGCCAGATCAACTATAACAGAGATAGTAAAAGTTTGCAGAAAATCACTTGAGGAGGTTCACCAACAGCAGAGTGATCCACTAAATGATGATCGGGTTAGAATGGAGCACTTGAGGAGTGAAGAACTAGAGAATGCTTTAAAAATGGAAGAAATATTATGGGCCCAGAAGTCTAGAATTACATGGATGAAAGAAACCGACAAATGCATCAAAATTTTCCACAAGAAAATGCCGCATAGAAGGGCTTTTAATTCTATATCTTTGTTACAGAATGAGAATGGAGAGTGTTCCAGAGATCAACATACTATTAGAGAATGGTTGGTGAAGTATTTCTATGAGTTCTATTCACCAATATCTGTTTCTGCTCCATCTGAGATTCTGATTGCCTTCCTAGATCTCAGTTTTCAGTGAATGATAATACACAACTGCAGGGGCTAGTGACTGAGGAAGAAATCAAGGCTGTAGTTTTGAGTGTTGCTCCTGGTGAAGCACCAGGTCCTGATGGAAATCCTAAACAGGTTTTATCACAAATATTGGCGCATCATCAAAGATGAGGTAATAGCTGCTATTCAATTCTTCTTTTCTAAATGTTCTTTGCCTCAAGGTATCAACAGCACTTTTCTGACTCTTATCCCTAAGAAGCAGAAAGTTCGAGGGTAATGGACTATAGGCCAATCTCACTCTGTAACCCTAGCTATAAAATTCATTTCCATAGTGCTTGCAAACAGACTCTCTGCAGTTATTGCCAATGTGGTTGGTCATGAACAGGCAGCATTCATAAAAGTTAGAAGAGTCCATTACAATATTATTTTGGCTCATGATCTTATCAATGGGTTTGGTTCCAAAGCCACCAGGCCTACAATGGCTTTAAAGGTAGATCTAGCCAAGGCTTATGACACTGTATCATGGAGTATCATTCAATACCTCCTCAAATGGTATGGATTTGATGACAAATGGACTGCATGGGTGATGGAATGCATATCTTCAGCACACTTTTCTGTCCTGGTCAATGGAGTTCCATCTGGTTTTTTTCATTCAAGCAGAGGACTGAGACAAGGGTGCCCATTATCACCAGAGATCTTTTGTCTTGTCACTGACTATTTCTCTCAAATGATCCAAAGAGCTGTTAATGAAGGTAATCTTGAGTTGTGCACTGCTGTCAAGAAGCTGGGGTCAGAAATATCATATGTATTTTTTGCAGATGATTTGTTTCAGTTATTGAAAGCTAGTATTCAAATTCCAATAATCTAAAAAATCTGCTGGAGAAGTTCACTGACATCTCTGGACTGAAGGTGAATGCAGAAAAAAGAGAGGTTTTCTTCTCAAAATCTGTTAGGAGAACTAGAGTTATAAAACAGATCCTAAAGTTTTCAGTGGGAAGCTTTCCAATAACTTATCTTGGTCTCCCTTTGGTGGATAAAAAGATCCTTGCCTCTCATTGTTCCTCTCTACTTGACAAGATAAATGCTAAACTCGCAGCCTGGAATTCTTTTAACATTTCATTGGCAGGAAGGGTGGAGCTGATCAAAACAGTTATTTCTTCCTACTACTATTATTGGTCAGCTGTGTTCTCTATTCCCAGTGGTGTGCAGAGTACTATTGAGAAGAAGATAAGGCAGTTCTAATGGTCTGGAAATTCAGAGCAGAAAATTTTTTCCATGTTTGCTTGGGACAAGGTCACTTTACCTAAAGATGAAGGTGGCCCGGGCATAAGACGTATACAGAGTGTGAATCAGGCCAGCAAATGTGTGTTGTTATGGGACTTTCTACATCTAAAACAAGCACTTTGGGTTAAGTGGTTCCGGGATAAATATGTGAAGAGGAAGTGTTTCTGGAATGTATTTGCTAAGCCCACTGATTCAGCAATTTGGAGGGATATCCTATCAGTTAGAGAGATATTGTTGCCACAATTAAATTTTAAAATCAACAATGGCTCTACTTTCAATCTCTTCACTGATCCATGGATGAATGGGATCTCATTACAGTAGAGATATGGTCTTAGAAGTTAGAAGGCTTATTCCTGGTTTTCATTACACAGATACAATTAGTATTTTCTGGGACTCAGGTACATGGACTGTGCCATACTCCTGGCCTGCTGATATCAGAACTTATTTGCATAGACTCACATATAATGCGGCTATAGATGATGAGATTGCTTTGCAAAAAGGAAGATTTTGTTTTCAAGCTGCATGGAATATATGCAGAACTCATGGACCAAAAACTTCTTGGACTGGTCTGGTCCGGAATGGATGCAGACCTAGAGTATCTATTTTTGTAGTTCTTGTGTAGCAGAGAGCTAACAAATCATTTTATAATTTGCAAAGGGGTCTAACTATAACTGCCATATGTCATAACTGCTATAGGGATGAGGACTCAAATGATCATCTTTTCTGGACATGTACATTGGCGAGGAAAGTTTGGATATGGTTTGTTAAATTGTGTGGTTGGGAGGCCCTATTGACTATGCAATCTTTGGATTATGCCACTATGTGGTTTGTACAACATTGTGCTGATTCTTCTTTGAGGAGCAAGGTGTCTAGATTTTTTACCTCCATCATTTGGTGTTTATGGAACCATAGAAATCAGATGCTACATGGTAAAAGTCCACGGGCAATGCACGTGGTGAGAAATAACTTTATAATCTTAATTGAAATTATATAAATGAATCATTTTGAATCTTAAAAAAATTACTTTTGGTGTTAATTAAGGTGAGAAAATATAATGAAATTTTTTTTTTCCCGTAAAGACATAGCACGTGAGTAAACAATCAATGTTAATATAATTTAAGTTAAAAAAAAAAAAATTTATTACAATATTAAAATTAATAATATATTTATAAAACATAAAATTTGAACCTTGAAATTAAAATGAGAAATAACTTAATTATAGTACAATATATGTATATAGATATATATTCTATTAATTTTCTAAATTGAATAAGAATTAAATTCTATTATTATTTCTTTTGACATTTCTAAAATATACACAATGGAAAGGTAAAAAGAAGTTTGAATAATTTATTTATTATCAATAACAATAAAAATATTATATAAATTTTACTTTCATTTGTATAAGAATATTGATATATATATATATAGACATGTTCGGGAGAATCGAAAGAAAGAGGAGTTTGTGTTTAACCTAACCTTTTGTTCCTTATTTACAATATAATATAAAAATATAAAATATTAAAAATATCATAAATAGAATTGAGTTTTGAAACTCAATGTACTGTACATGAACTTTTAATTTTGAAGGCCTACTCGACTAAATACTACATAATGCAACACTTTTGAGTGAAGTGGAGCAATATGGATTCGATGTAAAATATTCTCAAAACTTAAAACTTATTAAGGTTCAATAATTTTCTCAATTAGGTAAATATATATATTTTCTCGGTATTTGACAAAGGTCTCGGTCGAATCCATTGGACGGAACGTATAAAATAACTTGCCCAAAATTGATGAGTAAAATTTATTTTCATTAGATTTTTTTTTTTTTTTTTCGTATATATTTTACGACAATCAAATACCAAAAAGTAAAAATATATTTTACATCCAAACGAACAGAGCTAATTTAATTGCATGTAATATCCATTTTATAGGACTTTGAAGGCTTATATTCTAATGGCCTGCAATAGATCATTATTTTCTCATGTAACTTTCAATATAAATTTGTTATCATCCCTTTCAATTTCTACTTTTAAGTATTGTCCTCAACAAGTAAGTCTATCATTCCCATCTTTTTCCCTTATATATATATACATATATGTAGTATCATAAGAATAATGTTACAGAAAGGTAAACTCATAAGAACATACATGTGAGTAAGAGATTAACTTTCTTTTCATACATTCAATAACCTGTTACCATGCTAATGCTGATATGAGTCACACAACAAGGACACACTTGATGCCGTGTGAGATATATATATAACTGTATTTTCCTCTTATTCCATACCTTTTACTTAAGCAATATACAAAATAAAGTCATACATTGATGTTCATGAGGCCAAAATTCATATATATGTATATTCATGTAACCAGTTTCATGCTGACAGGGGATGCCTTAAAGAAAATTTCCTGGATCACAAATGCCAGAAAAACTATGGTTTACGCGCGCGCATGATCATACATGTACTGAGAAGGCCATCACCTGCCTTAATGTATCGTCATTGTTATGCCAGTGAGCTTCAATGAAATGGGACTTCAGGCTTCCTTTCATGGGGTCTTCGATATCTCTACTAAAAGCCTGTGTAGGGCCCGAGGCCTTGAGAAAAATGGCGAGTGATCGGATCCTTTTAACTCGAAAACATATTTGGGGGGATCTGAGCTTATCATGGCTTCCTGAAGAGAGACTGGGATGGCAAAATCTTCTTCACTTTTTATGTAGAACCGTTGGACAGAGCCGTATTTTGCTTTAGAAAGGGAGAGCTTCTTGGTTACCGGTGCAAAAGGGATCGGCCTCATTGATACTGATGCCAGTGCAACATCCTGATCAAGAGGAGCATGTAATTAGTTAACTTCTTGTCAAATGAATCCGCATTTTTAAAGTAAAACCGGAGGAAAAAAAGATTGACAATTTCGACTTATAATCGTACTTTAGCAGGGCTTTGATTAAATAACAAGTCTTTCAACAATTCTTTGTCGAGTTCAATAGCCGTTGGAGGTTGATCCTTCCCATTGCCATACAAAAATGTCTGGGCGCGTTGCATCAGATCATTCGAGCCTGCCTGCAACACCATATACGAAGTGTTAGCTCAAGCAATCAACCACATAAGTCACAAAACTGTGACATAAGCCAAGCCCTATCTAGTTCAACAGGACCATAAACAATGTCCAAAGAATAATTCAACATATATCAATCTACATTGTAAAGCACAAGCACAATTGTTGCATAATGCAAGAGAATGAGAGCATGTTATGTGTAGGAAGTGTGATTTCAATCAGAAATTTCTAAACATGTACTTGAAATCTCCATTGATCTTATATATTCTCGAAAGGAGAAAAAGAAGTGCTTTCAAAATACTAACCGAAACTAAACAGTGCCATTATCTTTTCATGATCAACTGAAGAATATTATAGATATAGAAGGAAAATTACCAAGCACAAGTATGAGGAATCGTCTCAGTAAAAGGAAAAATAGAGGGGATAATTAGTGTTAGATAAAATCAACTGAAACTTAATCGGCTGATCAATTCTAGCTGCAGTAAATGCCTAGCCTGCAACCATCAAAACAAGGCTCAGAGAGCTACTAAACGAGTGTCCATGTTTCGGAAGTGGCAATTGACCTATCAGCTGTAGCAACTTGGCGTTCGAAAGAAAATGCAAAGAGAGAAGCAACGGCAAAGAAAGCTGATGAAAGATGTATTCTTGGTAACTAGTGATTGGAAAGTAGTGTGGCTCACTTCAGATAATGCAAATTACCAAAGAGCGACGAAGAGAGTAGACGAAACCCTTAGCAGATACGAAGACAAACAACATAAGACCAAGGTTGACACTTTCTTACAATCCTTAACCCTAAATCCTAGAAGTATGAATAATGACAAACCTGTTGGGAAAACATACTAAGTATACTCTGCCCACTAGGCAACATTGCTGCAGCAACGAAAATGGCTTTCGAGACTTTGAATGGATGCAGCTCCATCGCATAGGAAACACAAGCACCACCTAGATCATGTCCAACCAAAATGACCTGCATTCACAAGTAAATCTTAATTATGATCAAAGGAAAAATCTATGAGCCGTACTGTTTCGTATTTTATTAATTGAAATAGAAGATCGGAAGACATTATAGGTGAACATTTTTCAAGACTTGGTTGTAAATACTTTAATCCGCCATAAAACCCTAAAAATGAAAATGAAGTTCAACCATTGAGAACTAATAATAAAACAAGTGACTTTTATCTTCTGTTACATGCTCTACTTGCAGCACTATATGTTTACCATATGTGTGTGTGTGTGTGTGTGTCTGAGAGAGAGAACAAACCTTCTTCCCATCTTGAAGCTTTTCGAGGAAATCAGTAAGTGGCTTTACATATTGTGCAAAACTTGTAATGTTGTTTGTGTCATAGGAATGAGTTCCAGAACCAGTTAAGTCTACTGCATCAACTTCAAATCCGCTTTCTTGTAGAAGTGCTATGTTTTTATACCAACACCAGGCACCAAAACCACCTCCATGAACTAGGACAAAATGTTTGGTTTCTAAATCATCAATGTTTAGATCCTAAGAACCAAAAAATATAAATCAAATATGTGCGAAAAAAAAATTGAGAGCCATAACAAAAGCAGGAAATTATTGCTTAGATGAAACATAAATTCCTATATTTTCAAACATAAAGACAAATGAAACAGACTGATTGGCTGCTAAACAGCATACATTGGGTTTCACTGAATGTTACAGAGTTTGGTACTGTATTAGTCTTATGACTTGTTCTTCTTGAAATTATAAGTTCAAACTGTGTCTACTAGATTTAGCTGTCATGATACTATTTTTATATTTAAAAATATGTATTCTATTATTGTGTTCTTGTTGTATCCCATAATTAATTCTGCTAAAAAAATGCTTCACATTCAATGGAAAAAAAATAAAGGCAGTTAATCAGACTATATAACATTTATCAGATAACATCAAGTAGAATTCTGCTTGAATAGCATTAGTCATTCTTTTCTAAGGCTTAATTGCATACACACACAAAGGGGCCAGGGAAGACCAATTCCCGAGACTCCTGCAATTGTGGGGTCAATTCTACATCCACATGCAAAGAAGAAGTTTCCCGTTCGAATCTATATAATATTCGCTTTCCATCCAAGATGGTGCCCATAGTTTTTAAAACTCTTTTACACAGATTAGAGACATCCCCACTTATAAATTCCGGGTGTAGATCGTTTTTGAAAATCGTGAACCTCAACAAGGTGCAAAATGAACAATATCTGCACAGTTCGAGGTGATCCTATTGCGCGAAGGAGAAAAAAAGAAAAACACAATAAGAAAGTGAAACCTGAGCAATGAGCTGATGAAGTTGAGGGAGAGAATCCGAATTGGAACGTGGACGAGAACTCGAACTCCGGGCACACTTCTTCGGCTTCTTGGAAGATGGTAAAGGAGGGTATTGAACGGAAGTCGATCGATCAAAAGGAAGAAGATAACCACTCTGCTGCTGCTGATTCTGATGGTGAAAGAGCAAAGCAGCTGCGGTGACAGCTTGTTCTCGAATCAGAGAGTCATCCATAATAGTATTATTAGTACTTGAAGTGAATACTCTTCCGCTACTTTTGTGGCCTGTGGAGTAGTCTCTCATCATAGGAGGATTTCCTGAACTTTTGAAGGCTTTCTGCTTTGATCTATGGCTAGAGAAACATGCTATTGAGTTTCCCATTTTTTTTCTTCAATCAAAAATCTATCTGCTTAATTGTTATGTATATAGATATATATATAGATAGATAGATAGACACAGAGAGAGAGAGAGAGAGAGAGTTGAATTTTCAATTTGTTGTGCTGCAGTTTGACCGTTATTTCCGTTGTCATTTTCTGAAATAAATCTTGTTATTTTGTCATAAATTGTTAGATTTAAAAATGAAACTTTTTTATTGTTTGGAATTGATGGAATTTGAAATGGGATTGGATTTATTTGTTTTTTATTATTTATTTACAGGATTTGAATGATGATGTTGTGAGTAGCTCCAGTGCAGAAACTTTTATGTTGATTTAGTTGGAAATTATTTTCATATAATATGGTTATTATGGGAGTCAAATGAATGAGATGATAATTTTGCAGCTTTTCCAACTTTACCCTTATCTTAGTTTATTCTTTTCTTCATTTTTTTTTTTTTTTTAATTTCATTTTGCTCAAAACAAAAAATTAGGATTTTCTTTATATATATATTTCCCAAATTCTCTCCTTTTAATTTTTTTTTTTTTTAAATGGAGTTGGCCTGGTCCATAAAAATCGGCGGTATTGGTCTTAAGAATCATGAATGGCTGCTACCAACCCTGAGACATCCAATTAAGCGCAATTGATTTGTATTTTCTTTTGTTTGGATCATTTATTGTAAGTCTTTTAATTCAACTTAAACTAAATGGAACATTAAACGTGTCTTTTAATTCAACTTAAACTACTAACTGGAAAATTAAAGTCTCAATCATGACAGTGATGATGGAAGCTTCATGCTAATGTCATGCAAGAGTACAAAAATCTATTCCATTGACCAGTTATTATCATAGATTGTGTGAATTTCAACCCTCCACATCCAACATCATGTAATCCCCATCCTTCACAAGCCCCCCCAACGTGGACTCATGTTTAGAGAGAGATGCTCATACACTATTCAATGCCCCCTAAAAATGGAAGCAAACACTCGGATTATATTATATTGATCTTTTGAGATTTAAAACGTGTAGTCAACAACACCCTTAACCGTTTTCGTCACCTGATGACTAATTTTTATTTAGATGATAATTTTTTCCTTTTCTTGTATAAAATGCAATATTATAGAATTTTACACTTAGTCACCACTTCGGCAAATTAGTTTAGGAGAGACCGAATAATAAATGTTGAACCGTCCACCCGTGTATAATTTACTCAAACCTCAACCAACTCAACCACAAGTTTTAAGTTTATGCATGGCAACCAACTCAAACCAGCGAGGCTATTTTTCCAAACTACTACTAGTACTCTACTATCACATGTCTGTCTAATAATCTACAAACAATACGGTGCAAAATTTGAGCTACATCATATAAATCCTGAGTATACTCAGTTGTACTTCTTCCTTTTGTCACTTTGATGAAATCAATAAACAGTTAACATCATTTCGAAATCCCCACGCAATCATCGGTCTTCCACTCTAGGAGATGATCTGTGGAGTTCTCGGCTCATCAACACATGCAGAACATCTCCGCTACAATGCATAACCACAGTCGAAGCTTTCGCATCTTCTGATCAAACACCATCACGAAGCCAAGTTTAACGCCTTCCAGCATAAGCATGTAGTCCCTCTGAGTATCTGGTTCCGGAACAAGATGGAGACAAGATCCAGACCGAAACAAATATGGACAAGACTCGGCTACTGCGTCAAAACCAACACAGAGAGTGTTCAACATAGCAAGATTTCCATGAAGACGCCCAATCACCACGCAAACATCTGCAAAACCAAAGTTTAGAAAGAGGGGAAAGTCGGTTTTTATTACAAATGAGCCTCATTCAGAGCTTTCCTATAGAATCATATTTTTCCAATTATTAAAACAGAACACAGATGCTCCAAAGGAAAAAGATCACTTCTCCACATGTAAAGACTGCTAGCATTGAAACTTCATAAAAATTGTGGAACATGTAATTGTCTATCGGAAATTAGAAAATAACAACGCCAGGAAGCCTCACCAATCATGATGGACAGTTCAGAATCTTCATGTACTTGCTAGTCCAGTAGGTATATGATCAGTTTGCATGAGAAAATATTTAACACCAGCTAGTAAAACAAAGCTCGTGATGCCAACTGTAATAGGACCCACTGATCCTAACAGATTCTTTATGAATTTGGGGTTCTGTTTGGCTTTAGATTCAAACTGGCGGGTAGAACTCATAGATGGTTTCTTCATGAATGAAGAATATGAATCAACTTCTTCTCTCGTTAGTGCTGGCTTTAATGAATCCTTGACAATCTGGAAGTGGCGATTACACACAACTGTGGCAGAGATGTCTTCTCTCAAAGCAACAATTCCAGCTTCCCTGCATAGGCCCTCCAGTTCAGCCCCCGTGAAAAGTTCAGTATCTTCTGCTATTCGCCTGAGATCAACATCATTACCCACTTTCATTTCACGTGTATGTACACAAAGTATTTCGTATCGAGCTTCTAAATCGGGTGGTGGCACGTAAAGCACCTAAAATTCATAATAATGGACAAAGTTAACGGGAGTCTTGACAATGAGCAATTTTTTATGATTTGTTTTGTTCACCAGGCTTAGAAAGAATTGGAAGCTCCTTTTGGTCTTCTAAAAAAACAGTGTAGATAGGATTCTGAAAATGTCATTGAACATCAGGAAAAAAGAAAATGAGACAATAAAATCCATTCAAGAGCTGAACAAGACAATGCCTTAATGCAGCACAACAAAGTCTCCTATGCTAAGTACAAGAAGTAGTCTTTTTTTTCCAACTACTTGTTGGCTACATGAATACTATTTTTCCATTCCACTCTATCTAAGGCCATATACTCGGTCAAACCACATGTTATCATATCCTTCCTTGCTAACTCTATCCACGTTAACTTTGATCTTCCTCATCCCCTAACATTACTCTTAATGTGGACTATGTGACTATGTCACTCCTCCTAATTGGCACACTTAATGGTCTTCTTTGCACATGTCCAAACTATCTTAATTAATTTTCTTTTATTTTATCTCCAATTGGTGCTATTTCAACCGTCTCACAAATGCACTCATTTCAAATTCTATTATTTCTTATCTTGCCACACACTGTATCTCAACATTCGCATTTCCACCACCCACTGTATGCATATGTTGTTTCCTAACTGCCCAATATTCTGTCCCATAAAGTACGACTGGTCTAATAGGTGTTCTAAAGAACTTACCTTTCAATCTTAACAGGATACACTAATCACACAATCCTGCATTGATTCTATGGTTAACATCTGCTCCAATTTCTCCTGCATTATATATATATATATATATATATATATATATATATATATATATAGTTTAAATAACAAAATAATCACTTTTTTTTGTAACTCTTCATCCTCAATCTTCACTACATCCCCATTTGTATTTCTAGATAAAGTCTCCTGTGCTAAATACTAATTAAAAATTCAACCTTACTATTTTTATTAGGGGTGGTAATATTTGACACGACACGCTAACACGACACGAGCATGGCACGAGATAAGCGGGTTTGGGTTTGGGCTAATCATATTCGTGTCATAATCATGTCGACACAGATTGACCCGCTAACTAAACGTGTCGTGTTCGTGTCTGACCCTGTAAACACAATTATGACACGATTAACCCGATTAACTAAACGTGTCATATAAACGTGTCGTGTTCGTGTCAAAAATGACCCATTTAACAAAATGTGTAGAATAAATATGTCGTATTCGTGTCAAAAATGACTTAAATGTGTCTTTTCGTGTCGTGTCAAATCTTGACCCATTTATTAAACAGGTTATGCATGTTGTATCGTGTTACACGTATAATAATCATGTCGTGTTCGTGTCAAGGGTCTTAGACACGATTAATAATCGTGTCGTGTTCGTGTCAACCCTAATTGTGTCCGTGTCGTAATCGTGTCGACACGAACACGACACGCCAACACGAATTGCCACCCCCAATTTTTATCATTTATCTATTTGTGTTTGCTTGTCCAGATTCATTAAGGATTAACTAATTTGGGAAATGACAAGTAGTTGACCCTCTTAAAGAAGAGAAAATTTCAATCAGGTAAAGTAAAGCTATAGGGAGTCCATATAACATTGTGACAACAGTTCTTTATTCTCTTTAACTAAGATAATTAGTGATGACTCTAGCAATATATGTCACCGGTTTACAATAAGCAACTCTGTAGAAGTCAGAGTGATGTGCCAAAATACATGTATCAAGTGCATGCAAACTTGTTCATCCAAATCTCCCAATCCTATGAAGTGAGGATTGAATGAGTACTACTCCTAAACAGATAGACTAATAAAATGAACACACATCACCGGAATGATGACAGATTGGCCACAGAATAACATAGTTAGTCCAAAAATTATTATTAGTTATCAGAGCATATCAATATCAAAATGAACTGATCTTAATCATATCTGACTGTCGAATTGATTCTATCAATACCAATATATCAGCATGAGTCCATCAAGACATCATTTCATCAGTGTGGCAGCTATGCATTGCCCAATATATAACAGTATCGCTCTCTCTCTCTATATATATATTTGTGTGTGTGTGTGTGTGTGTTTGTGTATCTATATGACATTCAAAACCTCTTTAATTTTCAACTGCTAGCCGGAAGGAATATTTATAATCTGAGAACAAATGGTATAAACAAGTGGCAGTCATATAAATTAATTCATGTTACAACTATAAAGACAAAATCCATACAAGATCAAAACGTCCAGGGCGCATAAGTGCAGCATCAATTGCATGTGGGCGATTTGTTGCAGCCAAAACAAGAATTCCCTACAAAGGGAATAAACAGAAATCACAGAACACAATTAAATATGTTCTCCAATTTCCCATTCTTCTGATTTTAAATAAATGAAGATTAATATAACTTGTGTGAATAAATGCTTACTTTAACCTGTTCTAAACCATCCATTTCAGTCAGCAAAGTAGATAGAAGCCTCTCTCCTACTCCAATGTTGCTGCTTGAACTCCCTCCTCTGACATAAAAAGGAATAAAATAAAGAATTCTGCAAAACCTTAATTGGAGATAGGTAGGATGTGCGTGCACATCTGCATGTGCAAGCCTCTTCTACTCACTTTCTTGTTGTACACCCAACCAAAACCCTAGTAAACAAACCACTAAAATTTCCCCGTTCCTTTTTTTTCTTTTATCTTTCTTGATAAACCAAAAAAAGAAAAAGAAAAAAGAAAAACATAATATTAACATGTACATTCCAACATCACTGAGTAATCAATAGGATGACCCAGACACAAATGTATCAACACCACAATTTCAATTATTATCAGTCAGTGTTCAGATTGACAGGAATTAGAGACCTCTGAAAAGAACCTCTTTTAAAAATTAAGTCTTGAAAGTGAAACTCGACTTTAAAACTACATCAGTACAATATTGGAGTAACTAGAAAAGAAAATCATGCACCTAGATCCATTAACATGCGAATGATTTGGCTGAAGAACACAAGAACCCCCCTTAATGTAGAACTACCAGCAGAGAATCCCAACAGACCCCTCTACCTGTTAATTTTCCTGCCATATCCTTAGAGATTATTTGATTATGGTTGAAAAGACCACCAAATCAATCCCTCATATGTGAATAATGACATTACTAATGACATTGAGCTACCAAAAATCATTTTCAGATACTTCAGAGCACCTTCTGGTTAGGTCTTCAACATACATCAACACAGTTTCAGGACTTGACCGCTTAAGTAAACTTAAAGAAAGAAAATTCAAGAATATATTGGCATTTTCTGCGGCAACTCGTGTCTAAAATCTTCAGACGTAAGAGAAAATAAAAGAGGTCAAAATATAATTAAGTGGTAGCGTAAGAGAACTATAAAAATTAGCTTAACATTGGATTTAGTAGATGTACATAGAAGACCAATAAATGCATCTGTGATAAGAGGAAGGTTAATTTGCAAAGAGGGTAGGAGGCGAAGAGGGCGCCCAAAGTTAACATGGAATGAAATCATTAGAAATGATTTTTAAGAAGTTAAATATTAGAGAGATGGGCTTATAATAGAAAAGAATGGGAAAAGGAGAATTCTTGTGGCCGGCCCCATTCATATGGGATTAAGGCAAAATTGATGACGATGACGATGATGAGATATAGCCATACAGGTTACCAGCATAATTACCTTTTGGCAGCAACAACATCAGCCTCGTCAAAGAATATTATACTTGGCGCCGCAAGGCGAGCTCTTCGAAATGTATTACGCAACAAAGCTTCACCCTCCCCAACATACATTGAATATAATTCTGCACCACTGATACATCATCTATGAATCTTCAAGACATGAAGCTTAATAAAGTTTTATCAGACTTTCATGGAGGCAATAATTATAAGCCATAAGCCAAGCATAGAAGTAGTTGAAATCCTGTAAATATCCTGTGATCAAACCTCAACAATTACTATGTCTAAGCATGTCATGTTGGATAGACTAATAGATGATCAAACCTCAAGGAGAAAAAGGAAGCTTGGGCAGCATGAGCTGCAGCTTTAGCAAGAGTGGTTTTTGAGCACCCTGGAGGTCCATGAAGAAGGATCCCTCGGAGAGGTGATACTCCCATCCTCGAAAATGCAGCAGAATGTTTTAAAGGCCACTCAACAGCTTGCTGGAGCTTTTTCTGTCCCATGTATCGAGACATTGTTAGAGGTCAATAAGGATTTTGGTATAAAATAGAAATATAAGGTTACAGACCTTCAAATTTTTTAATCCTCCAATATCTTCCCAAGAAACCTTTGGAATTTCCACAGTAACACCTCTTGTTATACTTGGGCCAATGACAGATCTTGCATGCTTCCAATCATCCATTGTTAAGCTACAAACACCAGCTTCTTCAATTACATTTGAAGATTTCCTTATTGCAGACATGGTGGCCTCACGACATAAAGCTTCTAAATCAGCCCCAACATATCCATTGCAAGATGCAGCTATGGCTCGCAAGTCAACACTGGAATCCAAAGGAAGCGTTCTTGTATAGAGCTGAAAAATGTTATAAAGAAGTAGCATTGTAACTTTTAACTTCATATTACCATCTAATCCAACTCTTGTTAGTAAGATAAACAGTGACATTTTTCCAAAGCTAAGTGCCCTTTACTTTTTCTAGGTGAGTGGCGCTTACTCATGTAGCTGACAGATGTTATTGTGCTACAGAAAAATTACCACATGAACATATTGATTTCAGATTTTACCTTTAGTATTTGAAAACGTTCTTCTTCAGTAGGTGTTGTAACTTCAATCTCAGCATCAAATCGCCCTGACCTTCTTAGTGCAGGGTCAATTGCATCCACTCTGTACAAGAAAACCAGATATTAGAAGTACATTCAAACTAACTACATCATATCAAATTTAAAGTTAATATAAAAGTTTTGATAAATGATATTGCCAAAAAACATAAAAATAAGAAACAAAACAAAATTCAATCTCAATTTGGCACTAATTAGAATAATATAGATTTGGGTTCTTTTTTTTAATTTGATCCAGTATTTTGAAGAAATTAATGGTACCCCACCCAAAGGATTATAAGTGTGTGTACGCCAGTGCATTCTTTGTACACCTTTGAATGCTTCAGTAAAGAAAATATGGAAAACAGAAACTTACTTTTTTCACATATTTGTTTCCTTCCAAATACCATAGTATTTCTTTCGCTTTGAATTTCATTCTTCCCTTATTATCCAGTTACTTCCATACAACACAGAACCTTAGACTATACTTTTTAACTAGATGGTTTTACAGAGTATATACCACAGAATATATATATTAAAGTAAGAAAAATGCATAAGCCAAGGAAGGGGAAATGTAGTCGCAGATAAGTTTTACATTGAGATAAACAGAACATGACTTTTATTGAACTGGGGAGACATGCTTGTAAATTCCATTTTCCTGAAGATAAAAATTGTTTATTACAGATATAAAATGATATAATCCTAATCCACTTTATTAGTAAAGTTAACCAAGTTCCACAAGAATCAATGCACTGGCTAATAGAATCATCTGAAAATTCCTGTCTCTTGTAATAAGCAGATGATATTTCTAATAATTTCAACCAATTCAACCTTGTTTTTTATCTTCTTTTATTTTTATATATATTTATTTAGAAAAAAACAATAACTAAATCCTTAAGTCCACACTTTGTTATATTCTAAACAGAACCATCGTGCTACTATGATTCTCGCAAACTTGTTCATTTAGTATGATATTTTTTGAGAGGTGCAAAAATAGCAAAAGATGATTGCAAAGTTGACGAATAAATTTCAGCAGACAGATGAGCATAAAATTTGGAATACCCGCAATATATATATATATATATTTCAAAAATAGGTGGATCCATAAGATAAAGAATTAAAGATAACCTGTTAGTTGAAGCAACCACAACAACTTGTGGCACAGATGTTGATGAAGGTTTATTGGAGTCCATCAACATAAAGAGCTGAGAGGCCACACGAATGTCTTGTTCTCTTCTGCATTAGAAAAAACAACTGCAATGCATAAATAGACAATTGATTGTAGTTCATGTCATGGTTCCTGGTTCATAATTACGCTCCTTACAGAATATTGATATGTTTACAAAGAGAACAAAATGAACTGTCTTAGTAACTAAAAAGAAATGAGTATTTTGGTATAAAACTAACAAAAAGTGTCATAATGACACGCATATATCTGCACAAATACAAGAAATGAATTAAAGAGAAGTGCTTTGAGTTAGATAATGATAGTAGCTGCTTCAACTACCTCCAAAAAGAAGACAGAAAACTCTTACTGTTTCTTTTTTTATCAAGATGTGACATTATAAGATTCCAAAAAAGAAATATCATTAGCAAAAGTAAATTATTGAATTTTCATAGGCAAAAAGCAACAACCATAGAAATCATAGCCATAATAAAAATAGCACCCCATTCAACAAAGAAATAACTTCCACTCAAGCTAGAATCCACCAACCACTCATTAGGAAGGCTGGTTCAACATGAAGATGAAGTTAACAGAATTGTTTTTTATCACAAAGAATTTGATGATGAAGATTTAAGAAGGGAGAAGTATATAATTCCATTCTTTTTTGTTATGAGGTATATTGTGGCAGGCTAGCAGCACCTAAGATTGAGGACGAAGACTGGGAGCGCACTTCAATTCTCCAAAGGTTAGCTTGTCGAGAAGAGAGCAACCATAGTTAAACACTTCAATCTTCCAATCGAACCACATCCTAATCCTTACAAGGCAACTCAGGTAGATAGTAGTTCCATCCGGTAACCCAAAACTGTCTTGCTTCACATCCTTGTTGAACTTTATGAACACCAACTTGAACAGATTAATACAACCCTGGATTTTGCCTTGGAACAATTACACGTGTCCATCTCAAAATAATTCAGTTAGACATATTACATTCGCTATTCAAGACATATCCTACATGTATGGTAGAGAATCAAGTCTGGTTGATCGTTACTAGTTTAGGGCTTGAAGACCTTCAAGATGTGTCCATTGAGTGAAACAGTTCAAATCTCCCAACTGATGAACAAGGCAATACATAAACGGAATTTAAACATGATTGAACTTGTATCACAGTTCAGCATGTTCTTTTAAAAGGTTATTTTTATCTGAGTCAAGGCAATACGAAATTGCCTACACAATAAAATGCAGTACAATAATATGTAGAGTTCAAGTAAAAAAAGATCCAACTCCTGAGATTAAGATACTTTAAAGTTAACTCGAATTTTGTTGGTTGCCACGTACCTAGAATCACGACGAGGACACAGCACATCAATTTCATCTATGAAGATCACAGACGGCTTCCCTAATTTCGAATGAGATGATGCTTCAGCAAAAGCCTCCCGTAAAATTTTCTCACTTTCTCCAGCATGTGCTCTATGAACAGAATGGGGACTGCAAAATTAACACAATTTGAAAAGCCAATTATAATGACTTTAAGAACGAGTTGGGCTCGTGACTGAAATCTTCCATTTTGTTTTCCATAATGTACAATGTGTGAACCATAATGTAAATGCGGGGTTCAGGCAAGGACGGTGATGACGATGATAATGTGTGAACCCACCAACTGATTGGGATCATTGCCAAATTATATAAAATAAACAAGAAGAATGGACTCATCATGATCTAAGGGAGCCAGAAAAAATGATCTAATTGTACATGATTTTAGATATATGATGTCAGATAATTCTGCTTTCACAGACATCAAAACATGAACGAAATCATAGAACAGTTTTGAAAGCAACTAAACAATTGCAATTAGGTATACTATTTTATCACCATTACAGAAAAATCCAGTACTGAACAGTCAAAGAATTGAAGCAACAATATGCATATGGGTAAGAATGCAGTACCTAACAACGGTTAAATGTGCACCACATTCACGAACAACTGCTCGAACCAAGCTTGTCTAACATTGCAACATATAATAAAATTAATTAAAATGAAGAATTTTTAAATGCTCAATTGGCAAACTTATACCTTTACATTTATATGCAAAGATTAAATCAATACCTTTCCGGTGCCGGGAGGACCATGGAGCAGCAAACCTCGGGGCCACTAAAGAGAATACATACTGAATGAGACTTAAAAACTAAAGAGTGAGAAAAGATTTATATAGAGAGAGAATTGTTGAGTGTATTACTTTAAGACCGAGCTTTTGAGACTCGCGAGAGTAGAGAAGAGGGAAGGTAATGAGTTCTCTGAGAGCTTCGATAGCTTCGCCGTTGCCAGCTATGGCGTTCTCCGCCCTCCACTCTTCGTTGCCGTTGTTGCTGCTACAACTTTCCATGTGTATTTTATATAAATGATGTATATGTTCGTACTAGTAGTATTTATGTTTATGTGTGTGTGTGTGTGTGTGTGTGTGTGTGTGTATAAGAGAGAGAAACAGGGAGAGTGGCTGAAACTGGGGACAATCGATTGCACAAAGAGAGAGAGAGACACTGGCAGAGCCGATAGCCTAGAAACACAGGCTGAGAGGGTAGGGCTGAGAATCGGGCCAAATCTCGAGTTGGGCTAATTAAACTGCTCCAAAGTCCTGACCCGATTGTTCTGAGACAGTGACACGTGCCCCACCTTTACGAAATTGGATTAAATTTTGTGTGAAACCATCATATAACAATGATAATGAGACATGATTTGGATCATTGGATGAAGACTTGCGAAGAGATTGGAGAGAAATAAAATAAAATACATCCTTTACGGGACTTGATTAAGATCATAACAATATTACGAATTATGCAAAGAATTTAATTTAGAGATAAAAATAACATTTAAAATTTTCGTTTTGAGTTGAAAATGTTAGTTTTAAAATTATGAGAGTAATTTTTATGTGTTATAAAAGTTGATGCGGGGTTCATATATTAGATGTTTTGCACTAATTATATGAGTTATATATGTCTGAAGAAGAGAAATGTTGTGAAAAAGAGATGGAGGAAAAAAATAGTAAAGTGAAAGTGAAAATCTGCCTATAAATATGCATGAATTGTGATGAGTTTAATACAACGAAAAGAAAAGAAATAATCAAAAGCTCATTTTCTCTTCATTCCTTCTCATCTCATGTGTTTTATATTTCTTACTCTATTTGTTCTATATTTATAAAATTATGAAAATTATAGTTTTTTAGCCTAAAGTAGCTTTCAGTAAAAATGGAGGTTTTGAAATGACGAGTGTTCTTTACAAAAATTATGGACTTAGCGTCAAAAATAATAATTTTTACAAAAATATCTGGCAGCATCTTTCAAATAGAAAACTAAAATCATTTCTCCAATTTAAAAATAAAAAGAATAAACTAACAAAGTTAGTATTTTCTCACCTTTCAAAATAAAAGTTCCGACCGTTTAAATTTTTTACTTTTCATACAAACAAAGCGGGTGTGCAATGCTCAAATAATAATAATAATAATAAAAAGAATAAAATAAATAAATTGCCTAGCACCACTCTCTAAGTTCAAGTACAAAAGTTCGTAATACATCGTGGAGAAGCACATAAGCAACAGTGCTCAACTCATTAAAAGTTTCCAGCACACTCTGGAGAAGCATATAAGCAAGTAGCAACAGCTATTAACCATATAAGATTGAAAATTTTTCTACAATTTTAAAAGAATGTTATTGTACAAAAGTATAAATGTATACACTTCAGCTGTATTTATTAACCCAATCGGGCTGATAATGGGTGAACAAAATAAAAAAAAATAAAAAATAAAAAAAAGGTCAAATTTAACATGTCAACTGTTACTCTAGCTTGAACCTTTTTCCGGCCTCAGTTCATAAAACCGCGCCTTCCACAAAGATGCAAAAAACACGTCCACCAAAATGGCGTGGGCTGAATCGTCATCACCATCCATTTCCAGATCGTGGCTCGATTCTCAATGGAATAGATGAGTGGCACCTTGCTGAAGAAGACCCTGAGTCAATCCTTAATTGATGCGTGATGTACCAGCCATTCCGAAACAACAGCTCCAGTAACGCAGGAAACATGCAACTTATGCATAGGGCACATCTCAACATGGTCTCAAGTTTAGCTTGGTGGCCTGTAAATCACTGCACTTCCTGCAGATGCTTGGTTTGCTGCACGATTACTTCCAAAATTCTTCCGATTTGATTCCCTTGCAATTCTTGAACCAAACTAGAACAGAATAACGAAAAGGACAAGTCATTTACTAACCAAAAGCAATTTCCACAGAAGACCACAGCAAGATAATCATAGAGCTGATTTGTCAAATTTATCGATCATGGTGATATTGCAGAGTTAATAGACGTCAGTAACTCTACTGTTGTCTTCTTCATCAGGCCTAGAGATCCTAAATTATTATACTTAAGCTCAGGTCCATATATCTTCAAAATGAATCCAACGTCACTGCTTTGAGAATAGTGAATTGCTCCTACTATAACTCTTATTGAGCTTTAAAAAAATTAAAAGAAGAAAGAAAATGCACGAGCACACTTGAGAAAACTGGAATATAGTGTACGACAAATTAAACGGATAGATAATTTAAATCCCCACAAACATCGTGCAACAAAAAGAGGAAGGATGTTTACCACAGGAAGTAAAACCATTACAAGAGATATGTGAACAGAAATAAAGAGGAAGGGAGAGAACAGTTGGGGAACAATCCATGCTAAAAACGACTGATATGGTGATTTCAATAGTTTTGTGGTTTGAGCACCTGCACATGATTGACTAAAACAGGAATGTAAAAATTGGTAAAATATGACAACACAACTTCAAGTCTTTTACAGCACCAGGGCTGTGGTCTAGTGGTATCATGTCTCCTTTAAAGTGAAAGGTAGAGGGTTCGAGTCTCTCTAAGAACATTGTGTGAGTTTAAAAATAAAAAATAAAAAAATAAATCCTTCAAGTCTTTCAAATATTTCACAGGAAATTACTTGACGGCAAATAACTTCAAGTATAATCAGTATCCCTACTCTATTCTGCACATGAGATTTATATGGAAAACAATACAGAGGTAAATAATACTGATAAAACAACTAAAACAATAATAATAATTCAATATAAAATTAGTGAAATTTTGGTAAAGTGGGATAAGCCTTCATTGTGATCTAAAGAAAAGGAAGATCAAAACAAAGTAGGAAAATTTATAATCACCGGTTATACAGGAATTGGGATGTGGCCTGTGTGATCACTAAAATAATCTGTAATAGTTTCTTTTCCTAGGCAAGATGTGTAGCTACAATAATTGAAATAAAAAAGAAATTATGCACACCTGGATTGCTCTTTTAGGCAGAATGGCTGCTTCAATTATTCCAAGCAATTTGGCAACCTTCAGCAAACATGATAGACATAGTTACGTTTATTCAGGTCAACCACATTAAACAGGACTCTACACATAGTTAAGCACACATGTCAAGCATACTCAACCACTTCCAAAATATTCACCTTCAATAACAGCAGAAGATTGCATTGTGCATGTTGCTGTGATACTTATTTCCTCGAACTTTATAATTTATAATCTAGTAATGCATTAAACATTCCATGTCAAATATGTGTACGTGTGTGAATGTAGGGCATCTTTCCATTTCAACAACTACCATACTGGTCATTTTGTTGATGTGATAACTATGTACATATATCAAGCATATTTGAAAACTTGGAAAGTCTCCACCTTCAACAGCCAGCAGAAGAGCGAATTATGCATGTTGCTGGGTTACCAAGACACATATTTCCTCATACTTCATAATTTATAGGGTGAATTACTCTGACACCCCCTGAGGTTTTCCTTTATTACCTATAGATTATACTTGTGAAAAAAGTGTTCTCAACCTCCCTTGAGGTTTGGTTGACCTTACCCTCACCTCCCATGTCCTTAGTTGACCGTTAGTTGACTTTTAATTCAGTTAAAGAATAAAATGAAATGCCAATAATACCCTTATGTGCAGCAAAATGACAAAACTAACCTTATTCACAAAATGAAAAGACTAATAACATCATATATATTTTGGACACAAATACCCTACCACTTTTTTCACACAAATTGCTAGATATACACGTAGATTATATACAGTCAAGCCACCACCACCACCACCACCACCGGCCCCTACCGCCGCAACCTTAGCAAATCTAAGTAAATCTACCACTGAAAAAACTTGAAGCTTTGTTTGTGTATGTAGATAACCTATTTCAAAGACTGTTGCTTCAGCACTTATACTATCATCTCTGACTAATTGGGTAAACAATATCTAAAACCAGAGCACTCGCATAGATAGATGCAAATAAATCAGTACATGAAAATGTGTGTGTATATATATGAGATTTGCATAAGCAATTAATGGGTAAACACATAATTTTTAATTTTTTTTCATAAATTAAAATGAAATCTCGATTCCAATTTTTCATCTAATAGAAAAGAGAATTTGAGCTAATTTTGCATCGAAATTACTTAAAGTACAAATTCAGAAAATAGAAGGAAGAGAAATCTAAAGCAAAAAAATAGCAACTCTATTGAAGATTTAATGGAGGAATCAGTGTAGGAAAATCTTTTAATAATTGATGTTGTTTCCTATTATTGAAGATTTGGTGTTACTAGATGAATCAGTGGAGAAAAATCCTCCTTATTTCCTATTTTCTAATTCTTTCCATTCTCGTAATTTCTTCTCCTATATAAAGGAGCCTCCACCATTGTATTGTATATGAATTGAGAGAGTATTATAAAAGTGACGTAGCCCTTTGGGCTCTTTGTGCTATAGATGTAGGCCCTAGTGGCTGAACCACGTAATATCTGTGTGTTTCACTTGTTTTATTTATCTCTTCGCTCCCATTTTATGCTTTGCAACATGGTATCAGAGCCTAATTTCTCTTCCTAGGTTCGGACCCCTATTTTGGGGTATTCCCTTAGCATCTGAAATGTTGCTAAGGGTTTCTTGGTGCTATTTGAGACTTGCTTGGACTGCCGGTGTGTTCGGTAGTACTATTTTTCGCCTTTGCCGTGTCTCCGGCAGTTTGTATTGATTTGTTTGGGCTGCCGGTTTGTTAGGTAGCATTGTCTTTGCCTTTGCCATGTCTTCGGCAATTTTCATTCGACTTGGTTGGGTTGCCGGTGTGTTCAGTAGCATTATCTTCGCCTTTGTCGTGTCTCTGATAATTTTTGTTTGACTTGTTTGTGCTGCCGGTGTGTTCGGTAGCATTGTTCTTTGCCTTCCCTCATCTCTCTTCATCATTCATACGTGTTGTTACTCGTCATCTCAATGGCAAGTTGGGCATTCATGCTCCAACTTAAGGGGGACAATTGAATATTTAATGGAGGAATCAGTGTAGGAAAATCTTTCAGTAATTGATGTTGTTTCCTATTATTGAAGATTTGGTGTTACCAGATGAATCAATAGAGAAAAATCCTCCTTGTTTCCTATTTTCTAGTTCTTTCCATTCTCATAATTTCTTCTCCTATATAAAGGAGCCTCCACCATTGTATTGTATATGAATTGAGAGAGTGTGATAAAAGTGATGTAGCCCTTTGGGCTATTAGTGTCGTGAATGTAGGCCTTAGTGGTTGAACCACGTAATATCTACGTGTTCTACTTGTTTATTTATCTCTTCGCTTCCGTTTTATGCTTTGCAACAAACTCGAAGAAATCTGGTCGTAGAATTAAAAAAAAAAATTACCCAAAAAAAAGACTCGATGCAATCTCAACATGTACTTCTTGGACCCAATTATCGTCAAAACTCAACATGTGTAATCTAAGCATATATATGCACATAATTCATGTACATTTCGAAATCAACAGTGCCGGTCATCAACATCGCCAATTTGAAACCCCAAATGACCCAATTGATTGCTTCCCCGTCGTGTGCTTCTTGGACACCATCTAATTTTTGGCAAAACAATAACCTTTGACACGAGAATTGAGATCTAGATTCATTGGTAGGTCGAACAAGGATAGAGATTTGAGAGTAAGAGCAAATATATATATATAGGAAGTAGAGGTATAAGGTTTCAAAAGAGAAAGGCGATGGAGCTTTGATTAGAAAGTAAGAGAAATTAGTGAAAAAGTTACAAATGATGATGGAGAGAGAGAGAATCAATTGGGTGGTAACGCGATTGGAGCAGATGGTGGTGTTGCCAGCAGGAGGAGATGGTATATTAACGGTGAGGGGCTGGCTATGGCATGCGGTAGTGGCATTGAGAGGAAGAGAGGAGAGAGAGAGAACTGACAAGTGATGGAGGGAGGGAAGAGATAGGGTTTGGAGGGGTGAATTGGTAATTTAATATTCCATTGCTTGCATATGTATGACACATAATTTAGTTTAAGAAACTGAAGGGGTATAATAGTAAAATCATGTGAGCCGTTAAGAAAACAAACAGCAGTAACTCTCACAAGGGGGTGTGAGGGTTATTTTTTGAAAAGTTTAATACATGGGTAATAAATAGACCTCAGGGCGGTGTCAGAGTAATTCATCCTAATTTATAATGCAGTATTCCATTGCCAATACTAGACAAAATATTTTGATTTGACCATCAAGGGAATCTTATAGATTAGAATGCATTAATAATCAAGGAAGCATGTGTTTTAATATGTTGTATACGTCGGCATATGTGTTCTATACACTTCTACAAACACATGCAACTTTGGCCCTACGTATGTCATAGCAAAACACCAATATGTGACATTTGTAGAAGTAAAAAACAGAAGAATTCTACTCACCTCTCTTAGAATTTTCTTATCGCCTATTCCACTCGGCTGATCGAGGTCCGCAATCTCCCACAAAGGGATGTCTAGCAGTACCCTTATGACATCCTCATCCAAGAAAGGAAATCTAGCCTATTGGAAACAAAGAATGATATAACTATTATGCCATGAGTTGTTTTTTTAAAAATAAAAAATAAAATCCCACATGAATTGAGAAATAAAATTTATGGAGTTGCCAAGAATACCTCCTTGCCATTGTCAGCAATGCACCTATCATCTCTCCCTAGGTTTCTCTTCCAAATCCTTTGCATGTCTAATTTCATTTCCTCATGCAGCACAAGCCAACTGATGATAGTTTGTTGAACCAGAACAAAACAAAAAATGTATTAAACAACTATTTACCATAAAACTGTTCAAAATGGGGCTGAACATATAACAAGGAACAGAAAAATATGAAATGTGCAAACACAGGATAACCTTAGTAGTATGGAATCCCCATATGCATAATTATATTAAAATTAAAAAATGTATTAAATGACAATTTACCATCAAACTGTTCAAAATGGGGCTGGAATAACAAGGAACAGAAAAATATGAAATTTGAAAACACAGGATAACCTTAGTACTATGGAAGCCCCATATGCATAATTATATTAAAATTGCAGACACCATTATTTAATCAATACAAATAATCAGCATACCTTCCATGTCTATATTTTGTCTTATGCCTACCATAACCAGCACATTGTTCATCTGCACCAGAACCAACTAGGAGGATCTTGGACTCAGACTTGTACTGAACACGCTGGCATTCCTCATAACCGTCACTCCCAATCCCTTCATACACCCAACCATCACCACCAGCTGCCAACCATAATGCTATACCAATATTGAGATCCTGAAACATTAAGATAAACTTCAAGCTAGCATATGCACTAACTGAGAAATGCCAGTACATAGCATTCCCGACAAAAATTTTCTATCTTGAAAGAAGTGCAGTGTGGTAATAGGAAATATATTTATAGCTTATAAAATGCCTTTTGATATGTGAAGGAGAAACCAGAATAAAAGCAAGACAAGAAAATGAAATCATAAAAACATGTATAAAGCAACAGGGCATGTATTAATATTCCTTGTGTACATAAATCAACACAGTAGTTACTTCCAAGCACTCCCATGCATGCTGGAAGTACAGTCCATCAGAAATAAATAAGTAATAACACTTCAATATATATGAAGGATTCATACCATGTAGGTCTTCGCAGGGTTTATAAGTGACATGACATGCTTGGTCTCCAAGGGCAACTTTGATAACTCGGCATCAATCTCGACAAGTTTCCACCTTCATTCTCAATGCCATTTAAATTGAATGTAAGGAAAACCACAAAACCAAACAACTCAAAATAAAAGGAAAAAAAAAAAAATCATGTATACCAAAAAAAAATGATTCAAATAATCCATGGATTTACTCAGGAAACAAATAATCCACCATCAGATCACTAAGGCCGATTTTCATCCCTGCTCAACCGGTGGGTCTTGCAGTCAAGCTCCCTTCTGCCTTTGCACTCAAGGACCAATCTCCTTCGGCCCGAAAAATGGACAAATTCCTTTTCTTAGGAACGCATACAAGATTCATCACTACAAAAAGGATAATGGTAACCCCAACATATTTGAATCACTTGTTTCTACACTATTTCGTCATCTACATGCATTTCCTAAACTATTTGGTACCAGTGTCCAATTCTGCTTTTGAAATGGCTGTGTTAAGACTGTTGATTGCTTAGGTCATGTTAGTTTCCCCTTACATTTGCATTCATCTATTGCTGGTTTGAGAATTCATTTTATGTTTTAAATCTAGACTAAAGCTTCAATGAATCATCAGTAAAAAAAATTATCAGCAATACCTTCTCAATGGTGCTATTCTTTTAAGTTCCTTTACACCGGCCCTGGCGGAGATTCTATCAGGAGCAGACTGACCGTCAAAGCTCACATTAAGCAGATCAATTTCATCTGTCATTAGAAATTTGATAAGCCAATAAGCTCCGGAAAAAAAAAATTCACATCAGTATATTTTGAAATCAAATGATAAAAGCACAACTTTGAAATTATCTTTGATTTCAACTGCACAGGGAGATTTTTTAATTTCCCATGGTTCAATTTGTGCAACCTTATATTTCTAAAGAATGCAGTTTTCACTAATTATATGTTTCATTGTTTGACCACCCATCCGTCCCAAAATCACCATTTATCGATAAGCAGGAAACAATATATAATATCTTGAATGTACTTATCAAAACATATATATAATAGCTTGAATGGTCCCAATTACTTCAATAAGAAGTCATCCAACCCATTGCAAGTTGTATTGAGTAAAAAAAAAAAAATGCCAAGCAAGAAGCACAGAAGTGGTAAACATAACAAAGACAACAGCCAGTGACAACATGCTACAAGATTTAACACTAGGAATAAGGGAATATGAACCTGTAAGCCCTTCCAATAACCTAGAAAATGGCTTAAGACCAAAAGCCATAGTCGTTTACAGAAGAGGGCAACTAGTTGAACAAGAGAAAATGACATCTTTTTGACTTATTACTACATTAGCTCAAAGAAATGCCTTAGGATATCATAGGACTTTATTTTTCAAGATGGACAGAAAAATGAGACAAGTTTAATAATAATCATTGGTAGAAAGAAGACAATCAAAAAGGTTGAACAGCAAAACCACATAATGATATGGAAAATATAACACCTGGGCTTACAGAAATGCTTTAGGAGGTATAGAACTTAAATTTCTTGAAGGAAAAAAAAAAGGAGCTTACATAGCAAGACTTACATATGGGATCTAGGCACTCATTCAATAAAGCTGCAAGTATCATAGAATCCAATCCACCAGAAAAAAGCACTGCTACTGGAACACGTCCATCTTGTCTATTATCAGATGTAACTGCCTATGCTTTCCATCCAAAGAAAATTATCAATCTATATACAAAAAATGAAACTGAAACTTTTATAATCTACAAGTTAAAAAAATGCAGCTCATAAAAGTTAAACATGTGAGAAAACATTCCCTAAATTTCTACCCATGGTGAAAGTTTCCTATCAAAACAACATGAAATTCCTCGAGGAAAAGCAGAAGGCACCAAATTGAAAGATGTATCAAACAGCTTCCTTTTGAATGGTTACAGACATGAGCATATTCTAGTGAGAAACTGAGAAAATAGAAAAGTCATTATAAACTAGTTCACAAGTTTATAATGACTTGTGAGAATTCATCAACTAGTTCACTAGTTCTCAAAGCTAAAAGTACATTGAAGCCAAACGGTGAACTGCAAATCATCCTTTCTCTAACCACCACGGGTAGCTGAGTTGGCATAGAGCCTCCAAGAGTGGGAATACCCTCTGTGGCTCTATTACCGAAAAAAGAAAATCTCATCCTTCCTTATATAAGAAATGAATTTTATCAAACAGAAAGACAAATAAAAGGGACAGAGATACAAAAGAACTTCCAAAGAAAAAAATAAAAGCTAGAAACAAATAACCCACAAACTAGCCACAGAAACAACAGAAGAAATAGAGGTTCTCATGAAAATGATCAAAAGACTAAAGTTTAAATAGTAACCAAAAAGGTAAAAAGTATGAAAAACAAAATGTGCAAGCTAGACACCCAAACAACATATCCAAGACAAGTAGAGAAGTAATTCCACTCTAAAGAAATCACAAGATGCCTTTGTTTAAGTAAGAAATGAACATTTAAGTTTTTTGAAATCAAAATTTAAACAATCATAATCCCACTCCCCCATAAGAAAAGAGAATTAAAGATATAAATTCTCCTAACACAAAGGCAAATATTTCTGCCAGCCCAAAAAACTGCTAACAAAAAATAAATTGTATCATTAATTTGCAATCTTGGTTTTCAAGGACACCGTAAATGTGCTGTTATCGACTAAGCAGAAAAACCAACAATAAAGGCAACTGATACAATATAAGAAGAATTCCCAAAAAGAACATCCAAATTAAAACTCAGTGGGAAATAAACCGTTGAAGGAAGGAAGGGGACCAAGTGAGGCATGAGAACGAGCTAACGACCAATAATACCTTCAAAGGTCATCACTGTTGGAATTAAAATAACCCATTTCATTTTGATTAGGATTTAAAATAGATCTCTAGTGATCTTCATAAAGTGGTTATATAGGTTCAAAAGAAGGGCAGAACAGCATGTGCAGTAATCTTTACTGGGAAGAAGTAATACAGAAGAGAAGGGTTTTTCTATAATGAACTTATAATATATGGAACTCATTAGTATACAAAAATAAAATAAAATAAAAATAAAAATTAATAACAATGTCTCTGATTCTATCTAAGAGTAATTTTAGTTTTCAACAAACCACTTATATAGCAAAGGCGCAGAACACACGGCATAATTCACCACCAATATTGACATGAGGTAAAGGTGGCACAAATTTTCGCTATATTACATGGACTCGGAAAAGTGTGTCAGATGCGGGTATGTATCCACGCATCAGACGTGTCAAATCGTCAAATAAAAGGACACAGCGACATTGCTAAATATTATTATTATTATTATTATTATTATTATTATTACTTTATCTTCTATATGATGTATTTTTGTAATATAGTATTCGATATAGGCATTCCACTTGTTTTGAAGCAATAACATACCAAAATTGAATTACTGGATATGTTCCTTAGGTGCATGTCCAACCAAAAGCACTGTCCCATACCCATGTCCAAGTATTGAGTGTCGGATACCTCACCTACTTTTGAAGAGTCCATGAAACATAGGAATTTGGAATATGAAATGTAGGACAGTAAACAAGGGAGAAGGAGATCAAATTACTCATTATCTTACTCGTACAAAGAGAATGATAACCATTTTTTTTCCTAGTTGAATGATAACCAATTCACTCTGTGAGATTAATGGTCCACCATGAGGATTTCTTCCCATGCCACAGGTAACACCCAAACAAAGTAGAAAAAAATAAAGAGAAAGGAGGAAGAAAGAAAATTGCTGTTTTGACCAAGAAAATTTTGGAGCACAGTATTTAGAAACACAAGTAAACACATAATTCACATCATTTTCACTTGCTACATTTTGGGAACAGAACTGTTTTTACAATCACCTTGTTATGCAGTATGACAGTTTTCTTGTTGGACCGCAAAGTTGTATAAGCTCAATGAAATAATTTTTTTTAATATTGGTTAAAATTTAATCCCTATTCAAAGTTCAAATTAAATCATAAAATTTGATAACTATTTGAAAAGAAAAAAGGAAAAGTTACATTGGAAAGATTATTTATTGAAGTTCCAAAAAGAAAAGAAAACAAAATTTTAGAAGTCAAAAAATTTTCTTATAACTGTGTAAAGTAACTTTCATCATAAAGCTTCACATAAGCTTCCACTATTTTCACCAAAATAAAACAATCAAACAAATCACTAAGAATTTCAAGTTTTAAAATTTCAAACCTCAAAAATCGTATTTAGAGTGGTTCGTCTGATCACAGATTCTCTCAAAGCAATCAGCACTCTCTGTGATGGTAATAAGATTGATCCTTGCATAGGCCCTGCAACAATCGGATAAAACTTGAAGTAGGAAAACCTTTCATATCATAATGATATCTAAATCTAAAATTAGAGATTGGACAGCATACACACACACACACACACATATATATATGTGTGACCAGATAATATTATTTAAAAAAAAAAAAACTAGATTTTAGCATATGGTTTTATCTGCACGACTTCATTATGTTGACCTAATTCAGGAAGCATTTTAGTCTAATGAACTGAATGCATGTCATGTTGCCCACCAGAAATCTTAATTCTGGAAATGCGTAACTCCTCAGGATTTGGTTCAATGGAAGTTCTCTCCCACTTAATCAGTTCCCTTAACATGGGATCAGTCCATTGGTGCTTTTTAACTTCACCAGCCAGATATCCATCCATTCCTGAAGCACCCATGGATATGCTGTACACCCCACAAGAAAGCTCTTCCCAGAAATTCAGTTCACTCGATCCGCCTTCGTCTCCAAAATCTGCAACAATACTAAAGTATATCTTTGGAATTGCAAATAGAAAGATTATCAATTGCAGCTATAGAGTCGGGGACTGGGTGTCGAGAAAGGTCAAAAAAGCTAACTGAGAGTGACAATTGGAAAGGCCAAATCAGTAACTAAAGATGCTTGGACTAAAAAAAGCATAAGTTCTGCATTCATACAAAAGGGAATAAGTACTGCAAGAAGTGGAAAATATCAAGAAGATAACATTGCACCAATGAAACTATTTAATGAAGTAATTTCTTAGACAAGTGCAACAGATATAATATAACAAAATAATGTAAAAAAATAGATGTTGGAAGGAAGAAATGGTATAAATATAAAGTAATGATAGACATGATATTGTCAGCATCAGCAACAATAACAGACCACTTGTTATCTAAGGATGAAATTTATGGCTCACATTCGGAGAACTATAAAGACGAAGAAAATAAATAAATAAATAAATAAAATAAGAAAGGAACCATTCTACTAAAAAAAAATCAACTATGTAAAAGGAAAGGCATAAGGTATCTGTTTGGTTTGTTTTACCAAGACAAATGATTCCATCCGTGAGTTAACTGGATTGTCAACGGCATAGAAGTACTAGGTCAATTTTGGCTCTTTTGATCCTTAGGCCAATGTGGTGAAGCATTTCAATTTGCCAAATAACAATTGAGCAATTCAATTAGTAACTTCTTTTTCTGTGTTGTAAACTGTGACAGACACAATGAACTATTGGTCATTGTGAAGAAAATCAGCCAAGCTATAGGCTTAAGCAAAACCTTCCTCAGATGAGGGGCATAGGCAGATGCCTGTATGAGCTACACACATTGAAGTTGCAGCCAACAAGGATTATGAGCCTTGTGAGCTTCCTGGCAAGTTGTAGACAATAAAGATTATGAGCCTTGCGAGCTTCCTGGCAAATTATAACGTCACTTAACTCGTGCAGCTTTTCTGTCCATTGGATAGCCACTCTCGGCATTCAGATGGACTAGGACCATCCAACTTGCAGCGAAATTTTATAAATTACTTGAATGCATGCAAAAGATGTGTATGCCATTGTGCACATTTCAGTAAAGTTCACAATGAGAAGGTTAGGAAAGCATGGGCATTATTTGAAAAGGTCAAGAACCATTAGGGTAAAGTGAAAATTGAACAATGTTCAGGCCTGCATTGAAAAGAACACTGTTTTTATCCAAGAACATGCACGTTGCCCATGGATATGATTAATCATTTTCATTATAAACAATGATAACTGCCTCCGCTCATTAAATCAGAAATCTTATCTGCCAATCATTCAATATATTTATATATATATATATATATTTGCTTGGAAGAAAAAGAAAAAGCAAGGCTCAAGTGAGCAGTATTTAGTATATACCAGAACTCGTATCCCTGGAAGAGGGGGAGGATACAGAAGATAGTAGAAGCCGAGAATCCTCCGAAGTTGGCCAGTGAACAAGGAGGCTCCGCCTTCCAAGCGCGTCTCGACCAAACCACACAGTTCTTGAACTACCCTGTAAATTATAGTCCAGGAAAAACCTCACAAAGCTGAAATAATGTATTTTGCATCATTTGATGGTGTCATGAATAGAAACTTACCACTCAACTTTACCTGCCAATAAATTAAAGCCCATGGGCCCTTAATCATCGAAAGAAGCTCTGGGACAGAGTTTTGCCCCTTTCCACTGCTTTTACATGTTCTTGTATGTTGATGAGAATTACATAAGCAGCACTGCGCCAGAGATTGCATAAGAATTTCAGTGTCGTTGCTATCACTGCTCACATGAATTCCTCCAAATATTTCACCTTTAAAGTACAATGAAGATTTGATAAATAGAGTTGATTACATTCACGAAGCAAAGCAAGACAGAAGCAAGAAATAATATTATGATAAAAAGGTTAAACTAGAGAAAAAAAAAAAAAATCAAAGCAAGTGACTGTTTCCAACAATAACTTCAAAAATAAATATGACATGATAATGGAGATTCAAATCCTTTTCTATGTTTATCAAATTATACTTCAGATCCTTCAATAAGACAAAGCTACATATATAACTCCATATTGATACCATGGCAAGGCGCCAACTTTGGGACATTACAATAAATGGCTGTTGTGAAAATCTCAAGAGATCTTGCAAGCCACAAATTTCACCATGTACAGATTAGGAACTAAGAATCACTTTCACTTAAGAAAATATAAAATGAGAGAGAGAGAGAGAGAGAGAGAGAGAGAGAGACCACTGAAGTAAGAATCACGGAAGATGAAGTATGTATATAACTGTCTAGCTCATGGTCCTTAAAATAGTCAAATGCTTTCAATTAATTTTTGGGTGAAATGTTGAATTTCTATAGTAGTATAATTGCTATAATTTCAGTACTCAACTCAACAAAGCCCTTTCCCAAGTTGGGATTGGCTACATGAATCCTATTTTTCCATTCTACTCTGTGGACCATGTCACTTTTCCAAAATAGCACACTTAGTGATTTGAATAATCAGCAATTGATTACAAAAATACATAAACCACATTTATATTAATGTAGCATTCATCATTAGTAGAAGTGCACTACAATGGGGAAGACAAATAAGAAGACCATTTTTTTCCCCTAAGCAAGAAGACCATATTTTGATAGATATATAAACCATAAAATAGCAATGTGTATAATAAAGTAGAAGAATACACTAATAAGGATAAATACATGGTTCCACAGTCAAGTCTAATTTCCAAATTTGGTATGCCTTGTGGTGTGAATAAAATCATTAATATGTTCAGAGTCAAGTAAAAGTGCATAGTTTAAAAAAGCAACTGCAGTAGTCCACAGCCAACATGATCTCCAATTTGACAAACAAGAAAATAAAAATTCAAAGAAACTGCATGAAAGGCATACAACCATATATTGTACTACATACGCGGCATAATATAACTATTATAGAGTCAGAAAAGTTTTTAAAAAAATAAAATTAAAAAGTACCATTATAAACAAGGATGTTCCCATGTGTATCCGCCAATGGCTGAGTAATAGGACTAATACCCCTAAGTTGTAATGTGGCTCCAATAAAGTGCAGTTCTGAAACAGATTTAGATATATAATAATCGTTGACTATCTCACTAGGTACTCCATTTGCAGAAGAGATGCAATCAAATGTCTCGGTATAATGATGTAATCCCCTCTGTGTATCCCCTTCTCCCTCAATGAGACATAGAATATCTCGTTCCAATGCAGAAGATGAAAGCTTTGAACAAAGAAAAACCTTCTGCCTCCCCAAGCTGTCAGGACCCCTTCTCCATAGAGCTGCTTCTATATCATCCACACATAACAATAGCTGGAATACAGAAAGACATTAAACACTTGATATAAGTAACTAACAAAGACCAAGAAGTGATCCAAATGCACCAAAGCCACATAAACCCCACTAAACTTTAAGGCATCCCACTTTCACGAAACTATTGCTAAATTAAAAGAGTAGTTAGATTGTCAAAACTCTTCTAAGAGAAAAAACAAAAGAGAAGAAAAATCTCATCTTTTCTTAACATATCATATCCTCATTTATTTGTTAGCATGCTAACTTAACTTCAATAGGAGATTGTGTTAAAAGTTTTGTGATTTCATACAAGAAATTAGGATATTGGAAGTTTCACTAGTGCTATGCATTCCTAGCTTCTACACCCAAGTCCCAATGATGATACACTGATTAACTTTTTACATCTAAAAGAAACAATACAGAACATTTACTTATCCAATCTCCAGACCCAATGTCTATGTTCTCAAAACTCTCTGTTTTTTTTTTTTTCTTTTTTCTTTTTTAAACAGTTGATTGAAAAATAATTCGAAATTTTCAATCATAAAATTTTGTATTACTAATCCCACTAAAAATTTGAATTTTTAACCATTCTTCGAACATATAAGACTAACACTTGGTCAAGCTGTTCTTCGTATTTATAGACAGGCTAGAGAATGCACTTTCTCATCTAAATGCAGTGTAATTAAGCCCCACCTAAGGCAACCTCTAATGATAGTTTAGACAAAATCCCAATGATAGGTTCAGAAATTATAATTTAATCTACACTCAAATTTTATTTTTTATTTTATTTTCTACTTGAACATCAAAAAAAAAAGCTTAAAGTGTCAAACAATTAGTTTTTTTTTTTTTTTTCTTTTTTCTTTGGGTAATCTTGATAGCAACAATTCAGGAAAAAAAAAAAATTCTTGATAGCAACATACTGTGGAAAGCTTCATGTTAGTGTGCTAGATTACGTGCAAAGAGCTCAGCTTAAAGGAAAGCCACTGATGTGTGTGTGTATAGAAATATACATACACACGCATATATATGTCTGTGCAGTTACATGTATATATGTATATTCCACTAGATTCTGACAAGCTTACTTGTTCAGATTGAGGAGTTGGAGGAGTGAAGTCAGGAACCACAGATGATAAATCGATACGAATGCCGGAGACGATCAAAGCGATTCCGCACATCTTTCCTCTCCCTCTCTCTCTCTCTCTAAAACCTCTGCGAAAGGGTTTCCTCGGAGGGTTCTGTCATTTCGGTAATTGGAATGGTACTTGATTAGCGACGAAACAGTATAGGTAGTATAAGAAATCACTTACGTCAAACAACGCCTCCGTAGCATAGTGGTAGTGCGTTCGCTTCGTAAGCGAAAGGTCGCGAGTTCGATCCTCGCCGGGGGCTTCATTTATATTTTTGTTTCCAAAAAATGTTCTCTTTTAGTAGCATTTCTATATACATGGAGAGAGAAAATATAACTTTTGTGGAATGATTCGATATTTTGCTCAAATTGTAAAGGAATTACACATTATTTAGAACTTGTATATAGGATCATTGTATTCACTCTTGACCTTACGATTTGTTTTTTCTTTTCTTTTCTCCCTTTTAATGAGATTGGACACTTGATGACTCCAATTAGACTAATCATGATTTTTAGTAATGATCCAAATTTCACAATTTCTTGTGATACTTTCAGTAAGTGAGACCTTCCTTAGAATTATAATATAGGAAGTAATATTAAGAAAACTGATATAATTGGCTAAACTCTTCCAATATATGATTAATTGAGTTCATTATAAAGATGGTTTGTGATAGAATAAGGTACATTGCATGATTTTACGTCATAAAAAATGGCAACCATGGTTGAGTGGTTATTTTCCATTTTGATGATAAGTTTTAGGTGGCAATGAAGCAATCTAATGCTCTGATCATGGATGAAGAATGAAGAATAAGGGATGGAATAGGCATTTTTAGGAAAGGGAAAATGTCATTTCCTCCTTTTGTTATGTTGATCTAATAATTTTTGAAGGGTAATATTGTAATTTACTTATTATTTTTAATAACAATTTCCTTCCTCTTTTCCATTCATATCTAAATTGATGAAAACTTGAAAGGGAACATGACTCTTCAATCCTCTTTTTCTTTCCCTTTGTCTCATATATACCAAATAAAAAAACACTTGTTCTTTCCTTTCCATCTTCCTCTACCACCTTTTCATTATTGCATTGTTAGGTTAGGTCATCATTTAGGGTTGCAAATGAACCGGGTTGTTCATGAATATTACGGGTTCAACTAGTTAAAAGCTTGGTTCGGGTTCGTTAAAGTAAATGATTCGAGCTTGAATACATTTTCTAACCTCGTTTAGTAAACAAACCGAACTTCAACAATTTTGGACTTTGCTTGTAGCCTCATGAATAAGCTCGTATAGTAAAGACTCTATTTTTTGAAAACTTTATATATGATTGCTGGCTTATTCTATATACATTCAACCCAAACTCATACATCTTTCATATGCCCAACTTCTATACTCATTGTAAGCCCAAACTCCCCCGCATTCCATTAAGCCCTACCACATTATCTCTTAGAGAAGTTTTTAAAGCTTCCATAACCCTAAGGGTTAACTATTGTAACCGTGGGTCGGTTACAAGATTTAATGGGTCTTTTAAGCTCATTAGTTTTGATTTTTAATTTACAAGATTTTTGTGTTTTATAACTCATTTATTTTCTGACAGCTTTTAGTCTTTATTGAGAATATAGTTGTAGGACTCCTTACTTATTAGTTTGGTTAGCCCAAAAGATGAAATATACAGATGAACAATATATCTATCTTTTCTTTTTTGTCTTTGAGTTATATTTTTATATTCTTCATATATATTTATGAGGCAACTTCGACATATAGAGACTTGTTCCCCTTGACTTCTTGTGGCCATGCACATAGAGGAGGTGCCATTGAGAGTCAATTTGGGTTGTATCTTAGAGTTGACTAACACCGTCTGTACCTACTACACATAGGGAAGGAGTATCAATTTTAGATCACGTGTTTGACACGTGCCTCTCTATCAAACCAACCAGCTTTTCTTAATTATTTTACTATTGTCTTTTAGCTTCTTAATTTCTATAATCCTATTAGTTTTCTTTTATTAACTTAAAATTATATTATTTATATTACATTATATCCATGTTGTTAAATTGATGTATTATTCAATGTAATAAAAGTGTTGTTATTTCATTATTCATTTTTGTAATTGCTCGTTGTATTATATGATTGTCTATCAATAAAATTTGACGGTTTGTTCTTTGTATTTTTCCTATAAAATTGTGCATTTTTCATAACATTATTAACGTCAGATTCCTTCAACAAATACATGTGTGTGTGTGTGATCGCTCTAGCAACCGGTTTCCAACAGAGATCCCTCTCATTTATCTCAATCCCATTTTAGTGTTGATGGAATCATTATTGCCGTTGACTTCTTGAAGAAGATGATCGGAGTTCGACGAAAGAGAGGACAATGATTTTCTTCCATCTTCTGCCCATCTGAAGCTCTTCCAATTTTTTTCCTATTGTTGGATATGTAGGCAAGGTCTTCCATCTCGTGGATATTTAGGATCCAATCAAGGAATAAAAATATGTATGTGAGCTCAAGCTTGCCAAGGAATAAAAATATCTCTTCCATCATTATTTCATGTTTTGACATAATTTATTGTTCATTTTCCCCTTATTAAATTCTCTTCATCTTTGTCTTATGACATAACATTAGTCATGATTTTTTTTTATCCCAAATCACAATATTTAACCTTGTAAAGGAGTATTTAGATCAACTCAAACTCTTATCTTGTGTGTTGAAATTTGAAGTTAAGATATATTAATGCTCCGTTTGGTATAAAGTAATAAAATTAGATGAAGAGGGATAAGAAGAATTAAATGTAATAGATAGTATCATTTCCTCATTTGGTTTGTTTGGTGGAAGAGAAGAAAATTAGATAATACTTTATTTTGTTTGTTTGGATATAAGGGAATAGAGAGTATTAATTATAAAGGAAGTTTTTGTAATTTAAAAACTTTCATAATAGCATTGCCCTTTGTTTTTTCCTTTGCGTCTTTTGTCCATATTTGAAGGGATGAAAATTTGTAAAGAAAAAATGATGACTCATTCATCGTCTTTTCTCTTCTCTCCTTACATCCTCTCTACCAAACTAAGGAAATGCATTTTTTCATTCTTATTTTCCCGCCACCCATCTTCCATTCTCCAAAGTATAAAAAATAAAAACAAACAAACACGGTTGCTATTTAGTAACTGTGTATAAATTCATAGCATTTGAAAATACGTGTAAATTACCCCCTAATATTTGTTGATTGTCAATTTTGACTAATTTTTATTTTTATAAAAATTTCAAAATAACCTTAAAAACTGAAATTAATATTTTTATTTATATTTTGTTTTAAGGGAATTTTACAAAATTCCTTATTTCCTCAATTTGGTAGGGATCTTTTTACTAAACAACAACACTACTTTTTGCACATTATGTATATAACAAGTTTTTTAAAATATATATATTTCCTCCTTCTCACGATAATGTTGTGTTTGGTAGAAAGTAAGGAATATGTGTGGAGAGAAAATAGAAAGGAATGAACAAATTTCCTCTGTTCAGTAGAGATAATATAAGGAAATAAATTATTTATAAATTTTTATCCGCTAAAAAATGGATGGAAGAAAGGATCGCTCAAAAAGGATGAAAGAAAAGATGGAAGGCAAATTGACTATTATCAAAGTTTTAAATTAAACAATAGGGTTAATTACAATGACACCCCCTAAGGTTTACTATAATGACAGGTATATACAAGTTAGACCATTTTTGAATGATAACACCCTTTTAGGTTTGATAAAGTTAACAAAGACACCCCCTATTAGAATTTTTAATCCAAACAGACCCTTAAAAGGTGAGAAAATACTAGATTGCCCTTTAATAAAATACTAATTTTTGATTTAAAATATCCAAATCTTGAAATGACAGAATTACCCTTCTTAATCCCAATTTTATCTCTCTATCCTCTCTCACTGAAAACCCATAAATTTTGCCCCCAAAACCACCACCACCATTCCACCATTGCCACCGACCACTGCCACCTCCACCAAAAAAACGAAACAGAGAAATTTTAAATGGGTTTAGTGAGAATTATTACATACTATTAATTTTTTTTATATAAGTAATAATCAATGTCTTCTCTGTGTCTATCCAATATGTTTCTTCAATTTTGTGGGCAAAATATATATATATATATATATATTATATATGGGGCGATAGTGGTAGAGAGAGTAGAGGCAGCTGTGGATGAATTGCGGCAAAGTGGTGACGAACTAGCTGTGACGGCTTGATGGAACCGATAGAGATGGGTTGGTTAACTGCAGCGGTGAGCAAGGAGGGACTCTCAGCTTTGATGATGTCCACCGGCGGGCAAGGAGAACTCAGTTGTTGATATCTGCGACCGGCGATTAGAGCAACGAGGAGCTCGGCTAGTGGCTGTGGATCAGTGAGACAGATCCGGATGTCCACCGGCAGGGACTCTCAGCTTTAATGATGTCCACCGGCGGGCAATGAGAACTCGGCTATGATTTGCGACCGGCGATGAGAGCGATGGCGAGCTTGGCCTGTAGGTCCGTTGTCAACACTTGCTGTAGTCCCTTCCCTGTTCGTGGAGGTAGAACTTGCATCCGAAAAAGAGAAAAGCTCTTTTCAGACCGCGCTGATTTCCCCGAAAACATCCATTGCTCACTCGTTTCCATATCGAACAATAAACCTCTCTGATTCGTCAAATGCAACTCGCATCCTTCTGGGTGTGCTTATAGTCCTAGTCATCTGATCCACAGGAGCTTTTCTCTACCCTTAGCCGAGGGTGATAATTGTTGAGCTAGGTAGCGAAGTCCTCAAAACCAGATGGTAGTTCGGTTTTTCCAGCTGCGTCATACTCCCGCTCGATCGATCTTGTAAGATCAGCTAATTCAACGGGGTTAATATGGTCCGAAGTTGTCGGGCTGTGGACCGGTGAGACAGATCCGGCGAGGGAGGTGAAGCTCGACTGTGGTTGGCGACGGTGCTGCGACGCTTTTTTGTTGGACTTGGTTATATATATATATATATATAAATATATATAATGGTGCTGATGTAATAGTGTATATATATAAGGGCAAAATTGACTTTTCATAAGTTCTGATATTTTACCACAAAATGAATTAAACATTGAAGGGCAATCTCGTCTTTTCTAACATTTTAAGGGCTTGTTTGGATCAAAATTCTCACAGGGGGTGTCATTGTTCAAAAAACGGCTAAGTTATGTATGGCTGTCAATATGTCAAACCTCAGGGGGTGTCATTGTAATTAACCCTAAACAATATCCTAAATTATGCAAGTTTAAATTACAATATTATAAAAATTATTAGATATAATGGTAAAAATAATTAAAACTTTATCTTTATTTCTCTATTAACAAACGTAGTAAATTGTGAGCTTATTATCTTCTCTTCTATCCAACCGAACAAAACGAAGAAAATACACAATCTCTTCCTTCATCCATCCCTTCCACCCAATTTTGTTCTTTCCTATCGAACAAAGCATAAGTGTCCATCTTTTTATTTTTAGCTGTTCCAAAATATTTGTCCCAATTAAAAAGTTAATGTAGTCTTTTTTTTTCTTTTTTTTTTTTTTTAATATTATCAATTTAACCTTCTTGTATTGAACTTATATAAAAAAATAAAAAATAAAAAATAAAAAACTAAAGTGAAAACCCTCGTATCAACTATCAGTATGAATCTATTGTGAGTAAATTTGGTAATTTATATACAATAAAAATTATGTTTTTATTTTGGGTTAAAATCATAATACTCCAGTAAAATTAAAAAACTCACTGAACTAAGAAAACTTATCAATTTATCTTCAAACCCGACTCATTAAATATGTTATGAAATGTCAAATTTGACATTGTCATTTACTATCAAATTAAAGACTATAATTTTTATTTTAAAATTATAAAAATAATATTGGGGCAAGAAATGAGTCATCAATCACTAGTAAGATAACAACTCATTTAACATTAAATAATATTATTATAAGGGATATTTTTTAAAATTTTAAAATAATAATTATAGTTTTTAATTTAATTTAATTTTAGATAGTAATGTCAAATTTAATGTTTTACAACTCACTTATGGATCACGAGTTTTTAGACAACTTAATAATTTTTAGGTAATTTACAGTTGCACCTCGTCAGGGTAGATACAAATTTGGGAGAGTGTGATCTAATTGCCCCCTCAAGTTTGTAAACTTGAACAACAACACCCCAACCATGATAAGAGTACCTAATTACTCTTTAACTTCTTAATTAACTCGTTTAAATTATTAAAGTACAATATTAACCTTTATAGGTCCTCTTATTTGACCAAAATGACCATTAGCAAAAAAAAATAAAAAATAAAAAATAAAACTCCACCACTATGCCTGCCAATGACATATGCATACAAACAAGGGCGGGCCCATGAATTTTTAATTGGTGGGGTCAAACTAGAAATGTAAAATTTCAATTTTAAAATAACATAAAATAATTTTAAGAATTTTTTTTTATTTTTTTATTTTAATTATTATTATTTTTTGCAAGTTTAATGTATATTGTTAAAATGTGTGCAATAAAATTGAAAAGAAAAGTTGTTGATTGAATCATTGTTGTTATCAAGTGAATAAAATTTTTTTTTTTCTTTCTAATTCATAACAAATAATATTTATGTATGTGTGTGAATATATATGTGCGTAAATATAATATGTTGTTATAAGAATTATCATAATAATCAATACTTTTTATAACTAAATTTGATCTTTTATAACAAGAGGTTTATTCAAATTTGAAGGGGTTACAAGTAATTTCATTATTAAACTATATTTAATAGAGGAAACCATTGGATTTAAAAAAAAAAAAAAAAATTAGAGAGATCAACATTAATTTTTATATAGAAAACAAATATTAGTATCTATGATTTAGTACCATAAATAGTGTTACAAAAAATTTGAGGGGCTAACTTTAATTTTTATGTAAAACATTACCATAAATCAAAGGACTTGTAAAAGGTTAATATTGTACTTTCATGATTTAAATGGGTCAATTCAGAAATCAAGGGGTAATTACGTATTCTTATAATGGTTGGGGTGTTGTTGTTCAAGTTTGCAAATTTGAGGGGGTAATTGGACCACTATTCCTAAATTGTATATACTTGTCTTTATTGTAATCCTAAGGGGGTGTGAGTGCAAATTACCCTAATTTTTATTAGTTTAAGGAGTTATTTAATATTTACTAAGGATTGTTTCCCTATTGCTTAAAAGCACTTTAATTTTGAAAAATTACGTTTAAATATGTTTGGTAACCATGATAAGTGTTTTTGATGGTTACCAAATTTAGTTTAGTCGACATTTGAATTAAGGTATAATTTGGAGTTTAGAGGTTGAATATTTTAGGTAACTTTTTTTTATTAAACAATCTTGTATTTTTTATTTTTTATAAAGATAATTACACCCCTTTCTTAATAAGGTTTCTATTATCAAATATGGTAATATCATATTAAAGGATATTGTTGTAAAATTAGTTATAGAAGTGTTTTAAAAAAATTTGTTCCCAAATAAATTAAAAAATAATTTAATTATGAAAAATACTTATTATTTTGTGTCACCAAACCCCGCAATTTTTTTACAACTCCACTAATAAAAATATATATTTTTATTCCAACGGTAACCCAAACGAATTCTAGGAGTCTTATACAGAATTTTAAATATAGAAGAAATTTCTATAATTTTAACCAATTTATTTTCTAATAAACCAACAATACATCATTCCCAAGATTTAATCTGTTCGTCCGAATATGTCTACAAGTTAACCAGCTGATATCGAGCTCAATTCCTATGTTTAGCAGATTTACACTTGTTTCCTTATCATGAATAGATACCAAATTAGAATATGATTTGTTGAAAGAGGAGTTCAATTGAAAAAAAAAATATAGAAAGCTTTAGAACATTCTGAAGTCCAATCACATCAATATCGTTTTATTTATGGAAATTATCACTATCAGCGCGGTTTCGAATACAGCAGAGACTAGAGAGTCAAATTACCATAAATTGGAGTCCGAGATTAGGATGTATTAAAATGACAGCCAAACGTGGCAAGTTTCTATTGGTGCTTTCACATTCCATATCGTTTTTCACCGTCAACCAATCATCTTAATCCTAAAGCCCAGCTTGCACATCAAGCAAATTTAGTAATTTAGAGAGCGAGAGATCATGTACCGTGCCAGCACAGAACATTCGATAGACCCCCATCAATCACAGCCGTATAAAGTAGACCCAGCCAGCTCTGATTTCACGCCATCACAGATAGTGGGTCCCACAATTCACTGTCAAGCAATATTCGACGGTCCAAACATACGAAAAATTCCCTCCAAAGCACACTCCAACATAGAACATACCGTATATATTGGAATCTCTGATCTTCCTTGATTTTGATAGCCCCTCTCTATCTCTACTCTCTCTATCTACCCTTTTCTCTTCGTGCCCTACCTACTCCTTACAAATCATAGTGTCCTATCTCGTGCTCTGTGAACTTGTCGCAGGTGTCTGTCATCTCTCTGGCCCTAATAAGAGGTACGATATATGTATATACTGTATGTATATCTATGTGTATATTATATGTTGTGTATATGTCGTGCATGAGTGTTTCTGTGGAGTAATTACTGTCTGATTCATCAATGTCTTCTCTTCACGCTGTTCGAGGTTTGTGGTTCTTTTCTTGCACACTTGTGTCGATCTTGTTGATCATTGGTATTTAATGGCTACCTGTACTTGCTATTTCTAGAGATTTTTGCGAGTGAAAGACTGGGTTTTTTTTTTTTTATATATTATTTTATGTATCGATTGGTGGATTGATCAGGACATATACATTCTTGGTGTGTTGGTCTCCAGCTTTTGAGTTATGTTCTGTTTTTAGATCTAGGGTTCTATGTGTGAAATTAATTTGTGGGTTTGTGTGCGAGAGTTGTTCTGATTTCCTTTTATTTTTTGTGATTTTCTGGGTTGTTATATGATTTTTTTGGCTTTCTAGGGTTTTGCATGCCCTAATCACACAAAATTTATTGGACCCCTTTTGTCCTAGTCCTAGTTGTAATCAAATTGGTTTTTGCTGCATTACTTCCAATTTGGTCCCCTTTGGCGAAAGACAAGGATGATGACTGTGCTATTTTGGCCTATAAAATACTCAAGATTGCTCTTCTATATCACTGTTATGTAATCCAATCACATTGTTATTCTGGAAGTGTGTGAATATGAAATTTTGAGTAATTCCTTAACAGGATAATGCAATGGTCATCTCTTTCTTGTTTTTGTTTTTCTTTGTTTTCTATCTTTGTTAATGCCCCTATTTCATTGCAGTTGTTAAATTAGAATTTATTTATTTATTTATTATTTTAAAATTCTTGTTGGACAACAATGCAATAGTCAGCTCTTTCTTGTTTTTGTTTTTCTTTGTTTTCTATCTTTGTTAATGTTTAAACAAATGCCCCTATTTATTGCAGTTTTTAAATTAGGATTTTTATTTTAAAATTTTTGTTGGTTTTTCTTCAGACTCTCTTGGAAGTACCTTTTTGAAACATTTTTTTAACTTAATTAACCCTTAGTCTGAGTCTTATACAGTGTTACATGATTTCCATCCCCAGTCAGCTCCACCTAATACTCGCTAAAAGGTGTAATGATGTTGTCTTCAATTAGATCCACTTCTAACTTCTAATTATTGGATAAACCTTTCGTGCCTCTTTTGTTTTCTATCACCTGATTTTTCACTTCACTGTCTTAAGAGCTTCATATTATTTTATTTACATTTTGAAATATTTTTATATATACTGCTGGCCTAGTTAGCCAGGTGTACCCTAAGTGTGATGGGCTAATTTTATTTTATTTTATTTTTATTATTTTATTTTTTTACTGATTAGCCCTTAAAATGTATATATTCTCTAAATTATTATGTAGATTTTGTTTTAATTGTGATCTATTTTATCTTCCTTTTTTGTGTACTAATTGTGTCTCTTTGTCTAAAATACAAAATACTTGACTGGAATTAGTTTTTGTATTTGTATATTCTTGTCTGAGTAATTTAAAAGTTGATGTTTTTCTATTTATTTATATGTTTCTGTAGAGATGGCGACGCAGATAGCAGGTCCTTCCACTTCACCCACTCCCCAAATTATATGTAATGCCTTTGTGGAGCAGTATTACCGCTTCCTTCGGAACTCTCCTGAACAAGCTCACAAATTTTATCAAGATTCAAGCGTGCTAAGCCGGCCAGGAGATGATGGTGTAATGACATCAGTGACAACCATGCAGGTATGGTTCTTGGAACAAAGGTTATAATGCATAATTACCTTTCTTATTTGGGTTTGTATAATGAATATATAAAATCCACGCCAATACTTCTGCTAGGAAGGGTTAGTGGAATCAGACATGATGCTCTATTAGAACTTTTGTGCCCCATTTTCTGACAAATAGGATCATATAAGAATCTGGTGCTTTTGCATTTGTATTTTTTGTAATATAATAAATATTAAGATTATCTTGTTTTACTTTGATATACTATGTATGAGTGAATATTTAGTGTACGGGATCTTGGAATTCTGAAACACTGTAGAATCTATGTTTATTTTTTGGAAATCTGCATATGGTGTAATGAAATGATTAAATATGGAACATTGGTCTTAGAATATTTTGCATCAGGATTGTTTGTTGGTTTTATTTTAGTTTGTCGTCGTGGTCTGAATCTCTTCCCTCTTGAGGAAGTAGAATCACACATGCCTTCCTTAATAGCTCCAAATGATATAGCATTTAGGTACTTCATGAATACAGTTTATACAGAAGCAACCGCATAGTCAGCTAAACCTACCAAAACGTTAGCTGAGCAGTCATTAAAAGGTAAGGCAAAAATTAAAGCTAACAAAAGAAACAAATAGAGGAGGAGATTGATCTTTATAGGTTATTTTTAGTCATGAGAGTTTTATTGTCCTGGGCTAGCAGAGTCACCAAAAAAGTACTCTCGCTCATGTTTAGGACCATTGATTTTTTTCCACAATAAAGCACCTTGTCCTGTACTATCATGCACCCTTCATTTCTTGACACCATACTTAAATCCTTGGCCATTCTACTTTATGCTTCAGTTCATTATAAAAGAATTTTATGAAATTAAGCTTCTGCTGCAAGCATTGACCAATGGAATTATCCTCCTGCTCTTCACAAACCATGACCATATCTTTTATATTGAGCTGCATGCCAAAGTGCAGTGTCTGTAGTAGGTCGGTCTTTATTTTTTCCCCCTTCTAAACCTTATAGTTATTCTCATGGCTCTTCTGTCCTTGATAATAAAGCCTGGTCTTAGATGTGAACACGCTTTAGTACTACTATAGTTTTTGGATAGACCGGTGCATAATTTTTCGTTCCATTTATCTTGTATCAGGGCATTAGTGACAAGATCCTGTCTTTCGAATTAAAGGACTATCAAGTGCAGATATTAACTGCAGATGCACAAGATTCTTTGGAGGAAGGGGTGGTTGTTCTAGTAACTGGTTGTTTATTTGGGAAGGACAACATTAAAAGGAACTTTACTCAAACATTCTTACTGGCCAAACAAGAAAAAGGTTACTATGTCTTGAATGATTTATTTAGGTTTGTGGACAGTGCTGCTTTGGCAGTCAGTGATGATAGTGAAAATGTTCCTGCTGCTTCTGGGACCCCAGATACAGGTAGTCTCTCTATCTCTCTATCTATATATTTTTGTCTGCGTCATGCCCATTTCCTTTGGCTGTTTGGGCAGCGGGGGTTGGTTTTATTTCATTCTATTTGGTAATGATTTGATGCTACTATTGTCATTAGAACCTGTTCATGCTCTTGATCATTCTACGCAAAATCACACATCTACTTCGGCCGAGGAGGTTAGCAATAATGACACTGATCTATTAGATACCAAGGGTTCTGTTCCAGTAATTGAGAAGAAGTTGCCAGCTGTTGAGGAAGTTGTTGTTGCTGAAGTCCCAGTTGGGGCAAGCCAGAATGACGCAGACACTATTGCTGAGTTGGCGTCCAATCTCAAAGAGGGTGCCCAAAAGATGTCTTACGCATCAATAGTGAGTTTAAATATATAATTATTTTTAAATGATATTGAACTTTTTTTTTTTTTTGTAGTTTATGTAATGTTCTGAATTTTTGTATAGGTAGCAAAGGAGAGCCCAGTGACTTCTCCAGTCCGTGTTACTACTAGAACAGCTGCAAGGGTTGCACCCTTAAGTACTGAACCAAATTCGCATACCTCTGTTGTATCAAAATTAACAACTCCTCGTAGCAACAGTGCTCCACGAAGCAACAGTGCTCCACGAAGCAACAGTGCTCCACGAAGTAATAACTATCGCGCGGAAGGTATTTTATATCACTAATGTGTAATTCTTTTATATATTTATATCATACATATTACTGAATTTACTCCATCCATATCATCATTCTATTTGTCACAGTCAAGGGCATATATGTTGGTAATTTGCCTGGGGATGTGACAGCTAAACAACTCGAAGAGGTGTTTAACAAATTTGGACCTATTATACTTGAAGGCATTCAAATAAAAAAGTATCAGGTATGGTTCTGTTTTGATTTTGCTATTTCATTTTTCTCTAGATACATTATTGACTTTTAACTACGAAAAATCTTTTGTACAGGAGGACGGATTCTGTTATGGCTTTGTAGAATTTGAATCCTCGAATTCAGCACATAGTGCGATTGAGGTACTTATATATATATATATCTTTCCCTTCTGCTTGTGCAAGTTGATCATGTGTTGTGGATACCATTTGAACTTCTTGTGGTTATTCGATTTTACAAGTTGATCATGTGTTGTGGATACCATTTGAACTCCCTGTGGTTATTCGATTTTACTGCATGCTATAAACCTTTTTAACAAGCCAAATTGTTGAATGATTTTGCCTACATACTCTTGTATATTTTCTTTTTCACTATTTAATGTTTGTCCATTTTTACTTCGGATGAGACTGATGAGTCATGAATTTGTTACCCTGAGCCTTTTTCACTTCTTGATGCCTCATACTCCATGATCACGATATTGTGTTTGAGTTGGTAGACCAAAAAGGTTTAGAAGCTCTAGGTGCTCTGACTATAAATTCCTTGTACAGTAATTTATTGATTGCTCGAATCACTCATTCTTTATCTGCTTTACAGTTCACATCCCATGTATCCCTGTTGAACTGTATATTTGTCTTGGACGAATGCCAAACTGCACGCAGTTCATCGGTGGATTTCTTTTTTCTGTTTAAATGGAACTTTGTTAATTGCTATTTTTACGGTGTGATATATGATGAATTATCTGAATTCTCTGCTGAAGCTATGAAGTAGTTGTTTTGAATTTTGGAGCTTAACTGATATTCATAATCGGTCAACTCTGAGTAAAAAGATTCTATTTTTTTAAAATTATTATTATTTATTTATTTTTGTATGTAGAAATGTATAGAATCTGTGGTTATCTACTAATGTTTTGGAAGATCCAAGAAGGCTGTGGCATATTTGTTCTGCACAATTTCATTGTCCTAAATTTTTTTTTAACAAAAATTATGTGCTATTTCAGGCTCATAAAATTGTTATTGGGGAAAAGGAAGCTTATATCGAGGCAAAGAAAGCTGTTAGTCGAGGCAAGTGGGAATTATATTTATCATCTCTACATTTAATTTATCATGTTGTTCTCGTGGGATAAACTTTTGATATACAGAAAAAATTATAAGATTTTCTATATTTGTTTAAAATGTTTTTTCTCTAAAAATTTTTTTTTACACTAATTATTCGGAATGTGTTCCTATAGAATATTTCATATGCCAGTTAAACCTTCTTCACTGGGTTTCTTTATACTAGGGAAGGGAATGGGGTTTTTTACACAATAATTATTCGCATGTGTTCCTATAAAACATTTCATATGCCAGTTAAACCTTCTTCATTGGGTTTCTTTATACTAGGGAAGGGAATGGGTTTTATTTTACTTCATTTGTTTTGTTGCCTTGGATCGCCTGACAGTGAAATCCTTTTTAGTGTTATCCTTTCCGGTTGTATCCCCAAATTTGGTGTCTAGTTCTGCTAAAGGGTGACTGTGATTGCCCTTTCTGATACATCTACCATAACTAATCAACCAAGGCCAATGTGTTGCCTCTTATTTTATCCGAAAAGATAAAAATGATTAAAAGAAGAGAAAAAAAAAAACAGAGTACTTAGGGGGAAAAAAAAAACAGAGAAGAAAAAGAATGAAGGTATCAATACTCGTGGGTTTCTTGAATTTTCATATGTTGGACTTCATGAGCGTATTTATCTAGAATTACGAATTCCTTTTAAGTCAAGGAAAATGTGTTCAAATGTTGTTTTGACAACAAAAACCATAGCTAATTGTATTTTTTACTCGAACAAAAACTAAACAGCCTATTGGTTCTTGCAGCTGGCAATGGTAGAGGAAGAAATCCATCCGGAAGAGGTGGGTTTGCTAATGACAATTCTAGGGCCAGGGAGAACTTTGGTGGGGGCCGTGGCAACGGAAGATTCGAGTATGGGAAACGTCGTGAGTTTTCCGGTCAATCTGGGGGCCCTGGTGGACGCAATGGAGAGGCTTACCAAGCCGGGGGCCCTGGTGGACGCAACGGAGAGGCTTACCAGAGGGGGGGTTTTCAGAATGGGGGTGGAAGATATGGCCGTCAAGCTGGGATGAAGTAGACTACTGTTACTTGCCTGCTTGAAATTTGCTGGCACATTTTTGATTATTCATGATGATACATAGTTTTTCCAGAGTCCGGCAGCGGCATTTGAGGTTTCAGCAATATAGAAATAGGATCTTAATATATTTTTATAGGATCTATGTGAAAGGAGTTGTTGGACGAGAAGGGAACAGAAATACCAGATGTGTAACTTTAAGATTTTTTTACCCCTACAGTATTCTGCTCTGTTGGGGCCTTCTCCATGGTGATGAAACTTTTAATCTTTTGTTACTCTGTCTCTCTCTCTCACTCTGCATGTGTGGGCACACACGCACACTGATCATTTCTACATTTTGATTGTGCATTTGTAGGTTATTACTGTCACTCCATTCTTGTGGACACTGTTTTTTGCACGCATTTTTCAATTGTCTTCCACTTAAAAAATCTTTTTATTTTTCTTTTTCAGGTTATATATATATATATATATATATATATATATATATATATAGTTTCTTGAATATATATGTTTTTTATTTTTAAATATGTTTCTTTTTCAGGTAATATATATATATATATATATATATTTCATTTTTCGGTATTTAACAAAGGTTGAGGTCAAGGTGTAGTTTATCCAAAAATTGATGTGCAAGTTATTTTTGTTAGATTTAATATTTTTTTCTTTAGTCGAGTTTATCCGAAAATTGATGTGTAAGTTATTTTTGTTAGGTTTAATATTTTTTTCTTTAGTTGAGTTTATCCGAAAATTGATGTATAAGTAATTTTTTGTTAGGTTTAATATATATATTTTTTCTCTTTAAATTTAAATATTTTACGAAATTGAATACCAAATAAATAAAATAAACAAATAAAGCCTTGTAACAAATTTGTTAATTCTTTCTTTTTACTGCTCTCCTTTTCTCCAAAAAAAAAAAAAACTTCCATAAAACACATATTGTTGAAATCTTAGGGAGTGAAGTTTTTATAGTGTTTTTTTACCTTTACATCTTTTTATTATCAATGATTATTGTTCTCTTCCCTCTTTAATTTTAAAGGAATAAAAATTGTTGGAGAAACAAAGAATAAAATCCCCCTCTACTATCAAAATTGTGCAAAAAATAAGTTACTCCTAAATAGGATGTGAAATGTCAAATTTAACCTTACTATTTAATATTAAATTAAAAATTATAATTATTATTTTAAAATTACAAAAATAATATTGGAAGCTAGAAATAGGTCATTGATCGAGATAACAACTCAACTAACATTAAATAATATTATTATAAAAGAGCATTTTGTAATTTTAAAATATTAAATAGTAAGGTCAAATTTGACATTTCACAACCCAATTGACTGGTTTTGTCTATTTTTTTTTTTTTTTTTTTTTTTTTTCTTCAGACTTTTATGTATGATTTTGAAAGTAGCGGGGGATTTTTTAATTTTAACTCTTATTTTAATTAGGTTTTTAATATAGTTTAACTTGCTTGTGTATAAAGTAATTTGTACATTATTTGAAACATCTCCAGCTTTGGCGGATTCAGACTAAATTTAAATGTTTGAGTTTGGTTCAAACCTAAGTTATTAAGTTTGTTAAAGCTAGTTTTATTTAAGTAGAAATTAAAATAAGATTGGTAAGAAAAATTAATTATAAATTCAAATTATTGTATTGAGTTAGTGTTATTTATGACTAAAACACTAAGTTTTCGATGACAATCATCTCTTATCAAATTAAGAAGACCACATGAGAGATGACTCATGGTGAATCTACAAGAATTCTAAGACAAAAAAATGTCCTCTCTTGGTACCTTATTCTTTTTTTGACATGATTTATGAGGCCTGCCTATGTTTCTTTTGTTTTTTTTTTTTTTTTGGTAAGTCAATATAGAGAGAATATACGACAGAGGGCAAAGGCCAACAAACCCGAAGGCAAAACAAGGCCCAAACAAAAGCCCAAACCAAACACAAGTGACATGCCAGTGTTGAAGACTTGTAGGATGTGAGTTGAGTTGAGTCATAGAGGATTTTACATTGACGCCACGTATAAATCTTAAAAACACGTGTCAGTTTCACACACTTTTTTCCTAATCTGCTAAGTATAAATTGAAGGTTATTATGAACTCTTTGTACTAACTCAAGACCCTCCTTTTACTAACTCAAGAATAGGTTTTGTGATTTTTACAAAATATAGAGGTTTGTGATTCAATATTAGTGTTTGTTTTACAAAATATAGATGTCTGTAATTCAATATTAATGTTTATTATACAAAATATAGGTGTTTTTGATTACTTCTATATCAATATTATTAGTGTTGGTTGCTTTCAACAGGATAAGTAGTGGAGAGAGTCTCTGAAATAGAAGGCATTCATTTTGTTAATTTGAGAGGTTAAGTATGACGGGAGATAAGGGTTAATCTTTGCCCCTTCTTTAAATATAATATATATATGGCAAATGACTTCTGCATTTTCACAATGCTGTTTGATAAAATTGAAAATTAAGCATTGAAAATTTTGAAGTATTGAATTGTAAGCGTTGAAATTTTAAGTGTTGAATATATTAATCTGTAAACTTGTTTGATATTGTATTAATTTTAAGCGCTGAATTCATTACGATTGTTTGTGTATATTAGAATTTTGCCTTGAATATCTTCTACACATAATATTATTATAAAAGATACTATATTAAAACATAAACATATATATAAAATAATGAATTTCACCAAAAAAAAATATAGTCAATTTAACAATGGATATTAATGTCAAAATTGATTATAAAAAATTTCAAAATCAACATATAAAATGAATAACTTATGAAAATGAAATATTTATGAGAAGGAGATTAGAATTCGCACACAAATATTTTTATTTATATAGTAGATTTGCATCATAACAATGGTGTGAGGGTTTCATTGCATGATTGTTGATTATACACCAGAGTGAACCATGCAATATATATATAATTTATATTTTGTTGAATATTATTTATATTTACATTATTTAATAAAAAAAAGTACAATGAAACATTTGAGAAATTGGAGTAAACTAAAACAAAAAATCCGATCGGAAGAGAATAGAAATGCAAGGTGGAAATAGAAAATCCATCAATATGTTTAATTTCAAGAGTAGAATCAATACGTTTAATTTTAATAGTAGCATCAATACGTTTAATTTCAATAGTAGCATCAATACGTTTAATTTCTAAGAGTTGAAAAAGTGATGGAGAACCTAAAAATTTAATATTTGAGGGTAACATTGTCATTAACAAAATATTTTAAAACTTAAAATCACTTGCCGTCTTCTGTGTTCGTGACGCCTACTTGATAATATTTTAAGTAGTAACCTAAATGTTATCCAACATGCTAATTTTTAAAATTCGGTGTTAAGCGCTGAACAAAAATATCAAACATATATCTCTTATAAATATAGGTAAGTGCAAAAAATATCCTGAAGTATACTTTTCGTAACACTTTTATCCCCTATTTGAAAAGTGTACAATAAACACCCATAATCTTTTGATATTGTGCAAAATTACCCCTCTGTCAAAAATCTGACATAAATTAGTGCTGTAATACCCAGTTTGTCCTTTTATTCTTCCTAAAATGCCTATGCAATCATCATTGTCAACAAACACCGCTTTCTCTCTCTATTCTACTTGAAGATTTGGCCAAAGGAGACAATGATGTGTTGGCCATTAAAGACTCAGAAATTTGGCAGATAACTCATTTGGAGGTTTTTTGACGGCCGACGGAAACTGGTGAAAGGAAATGGAAACCTCTACTTCTATCATTTTCTTAGACTGCTTTGGAGATGTGTTTCAGAGAATTTTTTTAGTAGATCACAGAGAGGGCTTACCAATTTGAGAGGGTAATTTTTTATTTTTTATTTTTATTTATTTATTTTTTTTCTCACTGGTATTTGACACCATAGATGGCAAACTGAAACTGAAATTATCATAACATTTGGATTATGCTGGCCTTTTGTTAATGACTATGGAGAGCTAAATAAAAGAGGCATCGTGGGTTTTATTTGGGTGAGAGTCATTTGTAGAGCAGTGACGTTTGTTGACACTTGAGAGATATATGGAGGCGAGAGAGTTTTTCCGACAGAGGAGAGAGAAGATGCGGGTAATTGTTGAAGATGAATTATAGAGAGAGAAATGATAGAATTATTAAAATAAAAATAAAAATCTCACGTGGGTCTTTGTGGTTGGGTGAGGATGCTAATTGGTTGTGGTAGACTCCCACCCAAGTCAAAGACAAGAAGCAAAGGCAAAGAAGAACCAGGTCTTGTGTGGGGAGTAGGAAGAGGAGGCGGTGGCAGAGTATAAGAGATGAGAAGGGAAAAACAGTGTCTTTTTTTGGTATTTTTACCAAAAAAAAATTATTTTTATATATTTTATAAAATTATTCAATATGAGTAATTTAGTCAATTTAGATTTCAAATGTGTTAGGGGGACCTAATTGCACCAAATTGAAACTTGAAGGGTGTTTTATGCACCTGAATGGTGTGATATGCACTTCAAGCATACTTCAATAGTATTTTCTACCCTTGACCCTATAAAAATATGATGTGGATGGGCTTGATGGGCCCTGAGACAAAGTGGGCCTTGTGATTTAGGTTTTTTGTATGCGATGTTCTTTCATCCGGCGGTATGGTGAAACGGTGTTTTTGTAGGCCTAAATGGGCTGCCTGATGGGCGTTGGGGTGTCTAACCCCTGTTTTGTCCACTATTGGTCCATCTATACAAATATATTATTATCATTATTATTTTTTCTGACAAATTAGGAGAGGGGAATTTGAACACAGGCGTTGGGAGAGGTACCAACTGTATCAACATTATTGTAAGAGTGATCCATTCTTACCTTTCTAATGGAGTAATCCATTATTATTTTAAGGATTAAAATCATATAAAACCCCTCTATATATTCTATCAAAATCGTGCATAAAATCTACAGTAAAATTAAAAAAATTTCTGAACTAACAACTTATCAAGTTATCCTCAAATCCGTGACCGACATTTTAAATGGGTTGTGAAATGTCAAATTTTATATTGCTATTTAAATTTTTTTTTATATTAAAAGATATAATAATTATTTTAAAATTACGAAAACAATATTGGGAGTGAGAAATATATGGGCCATCGATATCTAGTGAGATAAACCCAACTAACATTAAATAATACTATCATAAAGGAACATTTTTGTAATTTTAAAATAAAATAATAATAACTATTAATTTAATATTAAATAGTAAGGTCAAATTTGATATTTCACAATCTATTTAACTAATTGTTCACGT